CGAGCCGGAACAAGAAGGACTTGCCGAATTAGGTTGTGAGTCGAAAGCGGCCTCAGAAGAAAGAGAGAGAGAGAGAGAGAGAGACGCGAAGCCACTAAGTACCGAGCGTAAGTTCGGGGTGTGCCAAGGATACGCCGGGACATTTCTTCCCCACGTTTTGCTGGCGCGCGAGCGCGCACGTTTCTCACACGATTGTATTGAAATGCGCCTCGTAAACAATACGTTGCGTCACGTATATCGCGGGGCCACGCCACGTAAAGCGCCTGTGGAATTGACACAGACGTGACAGGAGGAGAGCAAGCGAAAAGGACGGGGAGAACGAGTCTCTCTCCGAGGGCTCTTTGTATACAGAGCCGCAACAAGTCAAACGGAGGTCCACCGCGTGCAAATTGGTTTCGATAAAACGGGGGACAGATTAATTAAAACGAGATGTGGGCGTCGTTTGACGATTCGGCGAGTAAAAACAGATTTTGACCTGCCTTTGCTTTAGCTGATAAGACTTAATTAAAGGCTAATCCAACGTTGCCGGAGATTTAATATTGATATGTCCCCCCGCGCCTTTTCTCATTTTATCTCTCAAAACGGTCCGTTGTATAAAAAAAAAAAAAAACCTTAATGTTTTAGCAAACAAGATCAACCCTGAACTCAATCTGTTTAAACGAACTGTGGGACTTAATTTGATAGAAAGTCTCGCTCAATACGACGTTTCTCAATTTTATATTGCGCTATATTTCTCTCGAAGTTGCCATTATATACATAATAAGGGTGCCATTCATTCCATTACAGTCTACAGTACATTTGTTCACGTATCATCGAGCGTATCTGCCGAGCTCTTTGGCATTACGGTCACGAGTAAACCTTTCACGACTTCACGGTTATTAGAATCGTAACGGAGACGGTTTGTAGGTCTCTTCCAGGTCACGGAGTGGAACGCTAGACTTCACCGATGACAAAATAGACTTGCTGAAAGATCCATCTTTCGAAGAGACGCGAAAAAGTAAGAACGACATATTTGCTGTCGCATGGCTATTGCGTGACGAACGTGATTGTATTCTTTTCTCTTTTGGCCATAGAATTAGGCGGGAAAGATAAATAATTACACACGTGGCATTTGCCAAAGAATTCCTGCGATCAAATATTTTCGAGAGAGCGGGAATATTGCCACAATGTTCTGTCAATATATTGATATAACAAAGAAAGTTTGTCAAATTTCTGTTATGTGAGAAGCGGAGAGAAAAACAAAGACATCACACGATGTTTAATATCGACTTAATATTGCAAAGCGCGTGTTCTGCAACTATTTTGATTTAAAAAAATATAAAACTGATATAAAACAAATTCCCATAGTTTTTCTTCTCGCGTTTTTGTGATGATCTGCCACAGTCGCAAAAACAGAAATTTAGTTGCATGCCGGTGAAAATAAAAAAAACTAGGTATGTTTTACTAATCCGAGCGTGTGCATGACTGAGCATAAACCCGAAAAGTGCACGGATTCAAATAACAAATAATTCAAATTGTTTACCGTGGCGAAAATCTTGAAATTGTATTGCAAAAATGTAAATATAAATTTTTCATTGATTCGCAAACATGTTTATTTTTTACGTGACAATAAAATCTCACGTAAATGGAATGCGTCATATTATATTTACCGTAACGAATCTCCTACCGCGTTGGCGGTAAACCTATAAATCTCGTCGAAGATAGCTCGCCTTTTAAAAAATGATTTTGTAGCGAATGCGTTTTATGAACGGACAGATAACATCTTGAATTACAGAGGCGGTCAAAAAGGGTCGTTACGACAGTATATCTGTTACTCTTACCGTTACGACCCTTAGACAAGTCTATTGTTACGTGTCAATAGTCACGCTCTGTTTTATCATCTAAATTGGAGTCCACAAAGAATATACGATTGCATAATTCACTCACTCACAATCAACCAGCGGATGCTGACACATATTACGCGATCGGGGATAAACGAATTGATCTCATCGCGATCCTGTCATCGTTTCTTGCACACTAGTTTTTGTCCTTTCGAAACGGATGGGAAACGGTAAATATAATACGGTATAATGTGAGATTAAGACCGTTACAATGAATTTTCTATAAAGAACCATAGGCTATATATATAATAAAACTACTTTTATATGTAAAGCATGTATTTTGCATATTAATTTATATTCTTGTGACATTTTCTTTTTTATTTTATTTTATTTATTTTTTTTTAAGTATTTATTAAGATATGATATAACTGCTCTTTTAGAAAAGCGTTTCTTCTACGGGTCACCCTAATTATGATTTCACTTATCTTCTCAAGTATTATAGATACGAAAAGAGCATTAGGTAAGTCCCGCTTGGAGAATAAATTATCTGTGAAAATCTACTTCATTGTCGTCATCGTCGTCGTTATCGTCGTCTTCTCGACAAACGCCCAAGTAGATGACCGAACTTAACTCAGCGTGGCACCAGATTCCCTTATGAAATTCTGTTGCCACAGTCATCGTGTCGAGTAATAAGCGACTGCGTAAGAAACGGGGCTGGCTTCGCGAAGTCGAAAGAAAGCGGAGATATTTCGACGGTTAACGAAATGGTCCGCGCGGAAGCGGGTAACCTTCAATTATGCGTCCAGTAAGCAATGCCATTGGTAGAGCAATAAAAAAAGAAAAAGAGAAGAGTTGGAAAACGCACCGTGTCGCATACAAAAATCTGAATTTGGAGCGCGATTCCGCGTCGATTGCGAAATGTCCGCGAGCGTGACGACGATCGGGCGATTCAGCTCGCGCAGCATTACATAGATCCAGCCTGCGTGATAAACGAGAAGCGGATCGGATAACAGGAGACATTGCGTATTTATTTTAATAAATGTAACGTGAAATACGCATTGATTATAATTTTACATATATATATCGTAACTTTCTTAGGATAAATTTATTTGCCGTAAGAAAATAATTTTTCTGCGCGAAAATATAAGTTTGTGACAAGCTAAAAAATAAATGATGAGAGAGAAGCTTTAAGTGATCGATCAAACTAATTTCTTATTACTCCGCGAGCAATCATACAAAAAATCGCGCGTTATATACACATGAAATTATTAAAGTAATAAATTTCGTCACATCACACGAAAATAATGGACTCACGCAATCTCAGGGAAACATTGAATAATAACGTCCGGTTTAATATTACGTAAATGCGCAACAAAAGAATTTGGGCTGAGATCGAAAGGTTTTGTCGCTTATGATCTTGATCCAGATAGGTCGCGCCGGTAATCATTCGGGCGGGACCGATCTTTTTTCTTTTAAAGTTAGTTACGTTCATGGAACGATGGTGATGTGTACCTTACGTGCGAGGCAAGAAATAGCATTACTCGTTGCGAAGACAAACGGGCTTTGTCGAGAATTGCGTAAGCGAGGAATAGACCAGAAGTACCACGCCTTTGCCGACCAAAACTTGCAAGAATTAAGACGTTTCCTTTTTAAGAACGTCATTTCCATCGAAGAATAATATTCTATAAATTTTTTCCCATATTGCAATTTTTAAATAAGAGAGATCGTATAAAGTAAAATCTGTGTAAAAGAAAATATCTTTAAAAAAGCTGATACTATGTTTATTTCTTATAAAAAGCACACAGCCGTTAATCCTGAATTTCATAAAAGTCTTACAAAAATTTCTAAGCATATGGTAATGAGTTTTTCGTAATAAAAAAATATATTTTTAGCTTTTTCTCAAGATATTCTGTAATGCGTAGTGCGATTTTATGTCGCGGCCAATAGAATCCGGTGTAAATTTCACCATATAATTACGTACGCGTTCTTTTCGCGGGAAAAAAAATGCGTGAGCTGTTCCACAAAAAAAAAAAAGGACGGTTTTAATTCGGCTTCGAACAGAGAAGTGAAAGAGCATTTGCTACTGTTACGCTAACAAGTAACTTGTAGGAGAGAGAAACGTGGCGTAATGTTTATACGCGCAGAAACAATGATGCATAAGTAATCGGGCGCTCCTTCTGCAACCCTTGCGCTGAAAATTGTAATTAAACCGAGTAATAAGGGAATGTAATATGTAAATATAATTAATCTCAGAAAGATGGAATAAAAATCCAAATCTCTTTTTAAAAGTGCAAAGTTTGTTGAAAACTTAATTTTTAGTAATATAAAATTTAATATAAATAAAAAATTTTCCTCATCCTGTTAACGACAAAAATATTTTTACATCTGCATTTTTTTAAATTAGAGAAAAGGATTTTTAATTTCTGTTTTTTTTTTTCAGTCAAACTTAGATTTTTGAATGTAAATATGAATTAAATTTTGATCCAATATTATTGAATCTTCCTTTTCAATAATTATTATTCATAAAGTGCACGAGTTTGCCGCGGTTAAAATAATTAAACGCGAACATATCTTTCCGTTAAGATGACGATAAAAGATACCGAATCATTTAACGCTCGCATTCACTCTTAAATTGATTCCCATTCAATTTCACGTTCACTTGACTGCCTTCCGCCGTTTCGGATTTCATTAGAATGAATTATTCCTAAACACACAGTAAGAACGCGAACAACTCGAGAAATAAGGTTTATCCGCCGGCGATTACCTCTCCTATCCTTTCAACATAATCGTCTCTGACGGTCAAATCAATCTGCTACATCTTTAACGACTAACTGCAGGATTCGCACGAGTGACGTCCGTGAGCTGGAAGAACAAGCAGCTCTATCCTATCCATCCCGTTCAATTAACCAGCGAGCCGAACTCTATCCCGTAACCTTTGTAACGGCTATCAATCTTTCTTTCGTTCATACGTTCCATCGAATCGATGAGCGTGATGACCGAATACCAGATGATCGAGTCCCTTTCGAGATTTTCGCACAAGCTATTAACGTCGGTGTATTCCACCACGTGGAGATCGCGACGTGTGCGTTTTCTCACACATACAAACAAAAAGATCCGGGGAGGGTATGACTACACCAACCTGAAGAGTGGTGGCACCCGAGGCCGAGAGCTTTTGCCCGGAACGGACCCATAGTGAGGTGGGAGATGAATATAAGCCCATCGTCTGTGAATAATGCTATCAGTGACTTCGCGACTCGACGGTCTCGCATACAGTAAAACGTGGTGTAAGCGGAAACGTGGAAACACATCATGCTGAAGGTACGGAGAGAAAAGGTCCACGCGACACGGTTGTGCGGTATGAACGGGTGGATGGTTGGCTCTCTGTGTGCGAGTGTATGTGTGTGTGTGTGCGTCGTTCTTTTCTATCGGCCGCGTTCGAGAGAACCTTTTTTCTGGCGGCGCTTATCGTGGATTTCCCTTATCTCTCTCTTATTTTTTGCTCGCTAGAATACTCGTTGCAATCTTGCTCCGAATATCACGTGGAATAGCCGGATAGACATTTATCTAACTTTCTGAATTCTTTTGCCAAAAGAGTAAAAAAGATGAAACCAGAATTTTGTTTTTTATTAAACTGATGATATACAAGACATTTCAAAATTATTCCCTTAAGCTTTAATTAAGAAAAAATATCTTTGTTATTATAATATCAAGAGAAAATCAATGATATAGAATGATATATAGATTTCGAAAAAGTTAGATGAGAAATCATTTATTTGTACGTATTCAATAATTAAGTTTAATTTTTAACTAATCTGTAGCCTTTTAGCATTATATTTATATAAGACTAAATAGAGTAAAAGTAATCATTTTTTATTTTCATGAAATTACTCGGTAAATCATTTTCTTATCATATTGAATATTGAACATTTTAAATTATTGCTTCTTTAAACATTTTTATAATTTATTAATGTTTATAATTTAAAATTTCTTATAATTTCATAAATTTTTGCAATTTTGAAATGTCGCCTTCACGTAAATGTTTGTGTTAGCATTCTAACAATCTTCAGAATTTTTCGTAATATTAATATTCTTCTGTGTAGCTTTTTATTTAAAAAAATATTTGCTTAATAAATAATCTATTTGTATAACTTTAAATGCAACATTTAATTTATTAAATATTGCACACCTTTAAAATCATACGTTTAAAAAAATGTTGCTATCACATTTCCAGTGTTCAAATTTTCAGCTTTTGGATACTTCAGAATTCCGATATCTTCTTCGTTTCATTTCGATTCTCTAGTTTATTCTAAAGTATCAAAAAATTCACGTTACTTTTCTCGGGCATGAATTTTCTTGCCAAGGGTGTAATAAACCTTTTCCTATTCGCGATGTATCATTTTCATTGCGACGGAAATGAGATTCTTAACCACTTCCGCGACGTTGTATTGACTTATACGATCTATCCCTCCGGGTAACACAAGTCGGCGTGAAAGTGAAAAGGGCGCTCTTGATCCAAAGATGTAATGAGACTTTTTCAGATAAATCAATTTCGATGACTATCCAAACTCAATTTCTTTCTCTCTCTCAATCGAGATCTCGCATCGATCGATAAGAATCTACGGTGCACAGAGAGATTCAATTGTATCCGCGGTTGTACTTTGTACGCTTATTCCGCGCATGAAACGCGATCGGAAAATATCGAGAAAGTATCGTGAAGAAGAAAAAGAGAGAAAAAAAAAAGAAGACAGAAGACGCTGTAGAATCCTTGACACACAGCTTGGCATAACTTCGTTAACAATGTCGTTTTCCCACAGAAGAAATTTACGATCGCGTATTGCGATTTTCAGACGGTTTCTCTCCTCTGCGCCATATTGGCGTGCGGTAACGCGGTTGTTCTCAGCGGCTACAATGGCCATGGCCTGTCCTATAGCGATTACACCGATGTCGCTGATGAATACGTAGGATCCGATGGATACGTCGGATACAAAGTTCTGCCGACAGTCGCCGTCCCGGTGCACGCGGTGTCCGCCGCACCCTTACACGTGGACGCATCCCTGGATCATGGCTATAAACACGTCGAGCAGGAACACGATTACTACGTGAGTATTTTTTTTTTTTTTCATACACTTTTACAAACGCCGTATTTGACATTTACTCGTTATCGCCAGTAATCGCGAGAGAGCGTGTAACGATTTTTGTGAAAATATCCCGCGATGTTTCGCGAATCTTTCAAAATTCCTGCGAAAAATTCTTCAAAATTCTCTCTAAAAGTTCTTTAACATTGACGTAATTTAATTACAAAAATACTTAGCGTATCTGGGTTTCAAGGGAAAAACGCCTGTATTTTTTGTACAGATTCACGTTTCAACTCGTTTACTCGCTAATTAGCGTTTAATATAAATCCTCGCACGCACGGCTTCCTGAAAAGTATTAAGATGTTTCAAGTCTCGTGACCGCTAGACCGTGTTTTATGGGCGGAAAGATGTGTTTCCAGGCCACCTGGGGCGCGTATGTTAATTTAGATTCCTGTCTCTGAAAAGAGGCGTCTGACGACGGTATTTCCTCGCCGTATCTCATTGTCGACTCTATTTCCGCAACGCTTATTGTCGTCGCTTTCTCGCGATGTTAATTGTCACTAGAAGTGGCAACTCAACGGTAATATCGCGCGGCGGCACATTTTCCGTTCAGACATAGCAAAATTCGATTCTATGTATGATCCATATTATGATTACGAAAAATCAAAATTGTTGCCAGTAACATGTAAAAACATGTAACACAGATCGGGAAATACAATGTAAATCCGCAATTCGAATAATGCCAGCTCCTGGCGTGCAGTATATTAAGTGGCTAAAGACCGCTTGCGCCAGACAAGGCAGTATACTACTTGTCGTAAACTCGCGCTATACGCATTAAAAATAAAATTTCTTTAAATCAAATAAATACATTTTGTTAATATTGAATTTTTTACTTACAATTAGATAAATATGTACTTTGTTTCCAAAAATGTTTTGTTATATTAAATAAATTATTAGTTGCATGTAATAAAAATTATAATTTTTAAAATATTTAAAATTTTAATATAAAAAAATATTTATATATGTGAAAATGAAAAATTATTTATTAAAATAAAGAAAACCTGCATTTTTAAAACAAGCAGCCAAAAATTAAAAATGTTTTTTTAAAGGAAGTAATTTAGTATAATAAAGATAAAAAAATAAATTCTGTTTTTATTTACAAATAATAGCATACTTCCCTTTTATTTTATTATATTTTATTAATTCAAATATATTTGCTGCTTGATTGAAATAACTAATTCCTTTGCAAATATTTAAATAAACAATTTTTTTAATAAAAAATATTGTTTTTTTAATTTGGTACATTTTTTTAGTGTAATAACACCGCGTTGTTGTCATTGTTGCAGTCGCATCCGAGATACTCGTTCAATTACGGAGTGCACGATCCTCACACTGGCGATGTGAAGACGCAGCACGAGGTGCGAGACGGCGACGTCGTCCACGGCTCGTACAGCGTCAACGAGCCCGATGGAAGCGTGCGTATCGTCGAATACACGGCGGATGATCACAACGGTTTCAATGCCGTCGTGAAGAAGGTAGGACCGGCGATACACCCGAAGCCGGTGCCGATTGTCAAGTACGTTTCGCCCGCGCACTATAACAGCTACGACTACGAGAAGCATTATTAGCGGCACGGTCGCTATAATGTGTAAATAGCGTCGAAATAATCAGTCTGCTAGTCAATGCGACAGCGAACTTTGTTTTCAATTGGGCTACGTTTAATTAGGTTACTGGACATTGTGGTTGACGATAGCAAAAAAAAAAAAAAGAAAATTTTGGTTCGTCTATTTTTAGACATAAAAAATTTTTTAAAGGTGTCGTCGAGGATTACGTGTTTTTGATAAAAACTGCGATAAGTATTTACATAATTTATATAATTGAGATTATGATGAAAAATATCGATCTTTCTGCTGATACAATATTTCATCTTGCCTTGTGTCAAATGTAGTCTTGTCTTAGTTCTTAATCTTATTATCCGACAGTCTAATTCGAGAAATGCCTGATTGCATTTAATTACGCCAACGCGCGTAATCCGATTATTTCTACGGATAACTGAAATCTAGTTCTCTATCTATTTATTTTATATTCCATCAGAAACTTGCACAAAGGCATTTTGCATCCCTTGAAAAGAGAATTATTTGGTATTAAAATCGAATTAAAACCGCGCATGTCTAAGGTATTGATTTATATTTACGATGACACTACGACGTAACAACATAAATTTCACCTATCCTCAAGACGCCCCTTTTGCGTTCAATCTTAGGTATATCGTACAACCGAAATATATAGATATATAGTATCACAAGTAATTTATATAGAAACCCGAGGAAAAATGGACTTATGTGATTATATAAAATCATATATGGCCATATATGATCTTATGACTATTTTTTCTCGGGAAGGATAAATGATTTTCTATCTTATATTTGAAAATGTTTACAATCCATGTGCAATAATGTATAGTGATTTGAATTTCAAATTAGAGTTGAATTTTAAGTTTATTCCACAGAACTGAAAAGTTTAAAATAAAAAATTAAATTAAAATAAATTAAAATAAAGCAAAAAAGAAAAATTAAATATATACATCCAGAAATTATACAGGCAACATGATCAGCAGATCATAAAATGGATTTTCTTAAAAGTGCGAAAAATAGTTGTTAAGTTTTTTTTTGTAACTCCACATACGCATAAAAAATATGTCATATAATAAACTTAAAGAGAAAAGAAAACTTGTATAAAAAATTGATGATAATAATAATGATGATACAATTATGTAAAATTGATTTGCATTGAAATGAAAATAGATATACAATGAATTTTATATTCTCGCGTTTAATCTAACTTTATTTCTATTCACGACGCAGAATATCACAATCGAGATTATTTTTCATCGGATATTGAATTTCCGACCTAGCTTGCTGTCATTCAACTTCTATTCAATGAAGAGGAACTTGACGATAAGGAGGTAATATGTGATTTTTCAAAGAAAAATGAAATGTAAACAGTATTGTTTTTCTAATAACGTCTAAGTTGTTTCTTCAATAATGTGTAAATAGCTTTATTTCTCTCTCCAATAACTACTAATATATCATTAAAAAGTTTTCAAAGGAACGAGAAGAGACATGCTAATTGTAATAAATCTCAAAAAAGATTACGAGAAGAACAGTTTTCTTTCCTTATTCTCAATCGTATTGATTTAAAACTAGCGAAAAAAAAAGTGCTAGCGGTTGCATTTTTTTGTCATTAAATTCTTTTATTTTATTTAGCTATATAATTGATAAGTAAAATATTAAATTGTTAATCTTATTTAATAATCATAATGTTATTTTTAGATTTTTGGGAGGTAAAAAATTGATCACTTTGTGCGTGTATGTAATTAAAATTCTCTCTTTTGTAGTACATTAATGTCGTGGCCTTTAATGAGTTAATGCAATACTTTCAGTGCCAATGCCTCGCAGCGCTCATTCTTAATTAGCGTATCGCTCTTAATGGATCGCGCTGCGCGTATAATGTTACTTAATTCACTCGATAACTATCTCAATGCGTCGGTGGCTTCGTTTGTACAGCTAATAAGAGTTTCACTAGACATAATTAACCATACACACATATATAGAAGGAAGTGCGCAAACAACAATGCCCTATCAGGGAGCAATAACACGTTCAGTTCCTGCCTCTTTGTTGGAGCGCTTGAACTTACGCGCACCGCCGTGAAATTTCATGAAGTCCACGCTTTCCAATTATATATCATTTTCACGCTATATATAGCGGCATTGCTAATCAATGCCTTTATGTTCAATTAACATTTATTTTTGGTATTTATAAACGGCACGTAGCTGGAGAAACCGTCGAATCTTTTTGCTCGACTTTTTAAAGCGGATATCGCGAGCCATTTCAGAAAGTATTCGACATACCATCGTTACATTTGAAATTATAAATGGCAAGAAGCGGCGCACTTACCGCGGCCTCCTGGTAAATCTTGTGAGCGATGATGCTCGTGCTCTCGAACATATTCTCGCCAGGACCGGAAGCGAAGCACATCTCCTTTTTTCCGGAACACGTATACTGGTCGGAGCATTTCTTCCCAGAGAATTCACACTTGGGACCACGTGTGTTTGGCGAAACGTCACCGAGGTTGGTCGAGGCGAAGGCTGCCACGAACTGTCCCTAAATAAAGATATTATGTGAATTGCAAATACATAAAATTATTTTTCTATTGTAATAAACATTATTATTTAAATAAAATTAATTTAATTCCTATAGTTTTTTAAATGTAGATTCACGTAGATGTTTGGAAAAAAAAACACGCTTTCCCACAGACAACACGTGTACAATAAGTGTGAAAAATGAATATGCTATGATGTCATAAATATATTTAGAATTTAATTGCACGTACCACGATGGGAAATGCAACTTATATTTTGAATGAAAATAAAGTAACGTTAACTCGTAATTGTTTTGGTAGAATTCCCGCGTAATCCCGCAAGCGAAAGTATGATTCATTGTGATATCGTAATACGCTTGTATGAAACGAGCAGCTTGCATTACATTAATGGTTCATATTTTTGCAATTTGCCACCAAACAGTACTTAACCGAGAATTTTTTATTGAAATTCCGATTAATGCTACATGAAATGTAAATGTAAATTGTTATCGCAGTAGCAACGCAACGTTTAAGGATTAATAACGTCGAATGATAAAAAAGAAAGAAAACAAAGAGAAAAACAAGCAAAGTATGCAGCGCCAACATGACAAGAAGGACAAATGGAGTCAGCCTGATAACAAAAAAGGAGATAATAATAGTAGACGCACGCAATCATCTGTGCACATAGAGCAAGAGAACAGAAAAACTCGTAAAACTACTATCCGCACGCGACCTGAAATATTTATAAGTGTGCACATTTATTTGAACGTCGAAACATTCGTGTATTTAATTTTGCACGATTCATTAGGATCCGCCGCAAGCGCATACAATTTTTTCATTATTATGAATTTTACTCTTACAATAGTATCCATAATACAGGATATCTTACGAGAAACTGCTAACTAATTAGCTGTCATTTTTAAAGGCACATAGAGAGCAGAGACAGTAAAATATCTTCTAATAGAGAACATTTATAGCAATTTTATTTATATATCAATTATATAATATATAATATGTTTATTACAAAATGCCAAATATTGGCAATCTTATAATATCGATATATAGTTTCAAAGTGCGTACCATCAGAATTAAAACAGAAATCAAATTTTTTTCATGGTGAGTGACAACTCAAAAGAGATGTTCCATAAAATTCTTTATAGTTTCTGAAAGAGATTATCAATACTTGGCATTTTTTAAAAAACATTTATTAAATGATAAAAACATCTCCAATTGTTTTTAATATATATGTAAATAAAATGCCCACTATTAGAAGATATTTTACTTTCCCTGCTCCCTATACACGTTTAAAAATGACAGTTGATTAATTTCAGTAATTTTCCATAGGACACTATGTATATATATATATTACTGATGTTTTGTACAGAGCACCGGTATAACTCTTGCAGTGTGTATAATGTCGACATAATGTATGACAACGACATAATTTAACGATGCCTATCCATTAACGGAAGCTTACCTTGCCGATCGTGGTATTATTACTCATCATTTTCTCAAAGAGAATTGAAGCATAGCCCATATTGTCGCTGGAAACTAGGCGATTGGTATTGTTCATGCTAGTCGGATGTACGGCGAACCAATTTATGACGCCGAGAGGCTTATCGTCTGCTCCGATAAATTGCATCTGTGTTAGTATTTTGTCTACGTCATGCTCGTATCTGGTAACAGAACAGGAAATATTAATCCTCAATGCAAGCTTTTTTCGAAAAACGCATTACCGACGATAAATATTTCAAAATATCAGTTAATTGAAATCCACGTCTGTCAATAAGTGAACGTTCGCATATTATGTATATTTACGAGAATGTAAGCGCTTACATAGACTTGCAAACGGGTAAACGTACATATATTGTACATAATGTAACACGCATTAAACACGAATGCTTTGAATATTCTGAGAATTAATAGTCCGAATATTCAACGTGCGCTTAATGCAGTCTGTAATCCTCTTACTAACAATAAGCAATTGCAGCGTGAATTGATCGCTCGTTATTTGAACATACCGCTATATTTATATTCTTATATATCTAATGCCACAAATACCATCCGTAATAATTATATAATAATTCTTTTATTTTAAAAGTGTCTACTCATTGCATCACTTAAAATTAACTAGCAGATAACATAATGTGTGCGGGCGATTATCTAATTAAGCATTTGGAGCAACATAAATTTGCTTGGCTCTTTTAAAACAGAAGATACTTTTATCGATGTTCTCAGTAAGATATTACATAACAAATCCTTGTTTTCATTCTGTGAAATAATTGCAGCCACTTTATCACTTACTTATCTCTTTCTGATTTCGGGTTGTTGCGATACGCCTGCGGACTCCTATTAATATTAGCGTCTAAAACTTGACCGTGAGTAACGAGGATCCTTCCAGGCACAACGGCATCGTGAGCACGTTCGATGCTCTGCAATGTCAAAATAAATATCAGTCATTATCTGCTACTTTAATCTGCTCTTTAATCAAGCGAATCGTCCGTGTAATTACGTATCGACTCACCTTCGTGATACCATTGACGATGGCGTCGAACGATTCCCGGACGAAGCCGAATGTGGTCAAATCGAAAAGCACGTCAAGCATGAAACCACCCGGGCTCGAGTGTGTGTGCGTGCTGCTAATCATCACGTTCCTCTCCGTGTACATGTCGCCAAATTGGATATGCAATTTGCGCAATACCTGTGGCAAAAAAATAAATCGCGATTAATATCACGCGATAATCGTGTGTCTTGCGACAAAAGCGCATGCTCTCGTAAAACGCAAATCGTACGGTTTATCTGTGCAATAAGATGCGCCAAAAGATGTACAATTTTTGATTTTTACATTATATAATATGCGAAGATAATGTAAGCAAATGTGAATTAACAGATACCCACGTTATATGTCCTTCTATCAAATACGTGAAATAAAAATTGCAAGACAAATATTCAACTCTTTTATTCTAGGTTATATGAAACCAATGTATTAGAAAAATGAAACCTCTCTGCGTAATATTGTGTGACATAATAATAAATATAATGTTACCTCCTGTCGGATGTCGTTTCCTATCATCGCGCTATCCACGCTCACGAACACGAATCTTTCCATACCATCGTCAATTATGAAAGCTCTGGAAAACGTTCGGAGATGGAGACCATTTCCTTTCTGATCCATTTTCGCATATCCCATCTGAAACGCACACGGCTATTTAATCTATTTGCTTTATATTTATTGTCCGCTTTTGTCAATTTAGCCATAAATATATTTTTAATTATTCTTGATAACAGCTTAGATATACTTTGTTATATTTTATTTTCCAGTATGACACTTCAGAGAAGGAAGGAAAGAGAGATTATTTCATTAAAATAAATTCTTCCTTCATTTTTACTCAGAAAATTAATTCTGTACTAACAAAAACAATTTCCGCCGTAGGTCCTGTGCTGTCAGCTCTTCCGAAAGGCAGGTGGTAGTAACAAGAGAAGCCATAATGTAGATAAACCCCGAGTTGTCAGAAGCAACGGCACCAAAGTATCCATTCAGCTTTGTGAGCCTCTTGGCTGATCGAACTGAAAACAGAAACGAAAATGAGCAGGTAACGACAGGAGTATCCCTCTCGAATGATTGAAAGTCTCGCCGTCATTAGGTAATAGCTTTTTTAGCTTTATTGCTCACAATCAGTAAAACAAATAATCGTCAACTTCGATCTTCTCTTTCGTCAGGATGCACGCGGCAATGCGATCAAGATTTGTCATTATTGTAGATAAGGATTTTTACTCTGCGCGCGATAACTCTTCAAAGAAAACCACGTGAGAAAGATCTTATACTGAATCAATTTATCATGAGAATTCAATTGAATTCATTGCGTGTGTGTTATCATCGCAAAATATTTTGATAAGCTTATCGTTGTTTATCAGAGATAATTATTATACACGCATACACAGAGAAAAAATAATGCGGAATATTAATAATAAATATTTTACGTGTAGATCATGTAATTAGTGGCTATTCTTTTAGGTTGCCTTCAAAGTTGTTTATTATTTTCGATGGCCGCACACGTGTATCAATCGCTAATTAGTACGTTAAGAGAAGAATATTGATCTTCGGAGCCGCTCAAGGATAACCAGTGGCACTGAAACGACTTTCACTGATCTGTGGTATTTGAGGACGAAAAAGAACATAAATAAAACTTTCACGAGTATTCTACGTTACATGACTTCACTTTCGGTTAAGCCTTTAACTTATGAGGCTGCTGTCGCTTACAGTAAGAATATATATGCTTCTTTACGAGAGAACTACGTTTATAAAAAAATGTAGAGGGAACTGATGCGGAAGTTAATATTGTAAAATTTAGAGTGTACCACATTTTCTCTCAGGTAGAGAATTTTCGAGATAATCTAGTAAAGAGTATCGATCGGCAACCGTGACAGCTGTCAAATCCAGAAACAACAGTCTTCATGCGTTGCTGTATCGCAAATGCACGGAAAACCGATAGAATTGTTGCGCAAACATAGCATTAAAAAGATTACAAATGATATGAGAAAAGACATGATATATGAAAAAAGATTACACGAACGCGTGCAAAAAACATAAAATTCTAAAACAAGCATATAAAAACGAGAAATAACAAATTGTCATCTTTCCTGCTGCTTTAAAAAAGATATAATAGACACGTCTACTGTATACCGTTAAGACTGAGTCTTGTACGAGTAGCACGTGCGACATGTCAGTTGGTGTAAACGAGTGCATTGCCGATGGCGAAGTATGTATGTAACGCGGTTTATGAGTAAGGCACATATATAGGTGTATATGTCGGAATAGACTCGTTATTCCATGCTTTTCAACAAGCGTCACAAGTGCATCGAGGGATGTATGTGCGCTTAAATATGTCGAATACGCGGAAAATCCGTATAATTTACATTGTGATTACGCATATGTGATCACACAATCGCGCGCGTTTTGTAACACTTGTCATCTGTTGGAATTTTCATTATTCACTCTTGTTGAATAATCGTCGAAGTCTCGACAACAATGGCAACGTTTTTCGATATAACGTTAACCATAAATTCTTTTATTTTATTTTATTATTTTTATAGTTTTATATTTTTTTACTTTTATATTTATTTTATTATTTTATTATTCTAGTCCAATATCTCGCAATTGTGCAAGATATACGTGTAAATTTTATTTTATAGCTACAAATATTTTATCCATGTATTCATTTATTTAAATTTTTATTTTCACTATATTAAATTTCAAAGGGATTTTAAAGAGAAAATCAAAAAAACGTCGTGAGTTTTTTATAACACTTTAGATATCGTTCACTGTATATTTTGTGATAAAAATTGCGTCGAAATCACGATGAATCAGTGCGTATAGAAATATAAAACAATGCCTCTCAGTAACGGTAAATATTGGAATACAAAGTTGGATAAAGCCGATAAAATATAAAAGAGATGCACACCAGCATGGTATTTGTTCACTTGTGAAATATGCGATACGGAAATGAAGGCACGAGTTTTGTAACGTTAATCAGAAGAAGTAATTAACTTCTCTTTACATATAACGTATTTTTTTTTTTCCCTCATATATAGTCGACTAATATCAGGTTGCTGCATGTGAAATGTTAGTTCTTTTATATCAAGGATTCTCATAGAACTTCCGCGAGAATATAATGTATATATAACTTCGTAGTATTCTTCAATATTCTCTTTTTTGTTACGTTTTTTTCACGTCTCTCAGAATAAAAATTCATTTGCATAATCTGATTTCGTTTGAGTGCATGGAAAGTTTAAAAGAGTTAAAAATGAAAAACATGTTTTTAGTTTTATACCGCTTATTAGTATTGCATTAAAAATAGATGTCATTGACAAACTGAAAACCGAATATTACACAAAAAATTGAAAGCAAAACATAAATCTCTCATTAAGCGCATAGCGATAAATTGCTCAGTCCTTTCAACTGAATATGTGTGACTAGATGATAGAAACTATAAATTAAAACTGTGATTAATGTTAAATATTAAAATAAAAATACGTCGAATCAAGACATCGACGCGAGACAAGTGTAGCGATAATATTTCACGAATGTCTCCTGTGTGACGTCTTTTACTTTCGTAGAGTCAATGCTCGATAGAAGTTTGGCGCTTCCATGGCCATACTAATAAATCCTGCTAATAAATTTAGTTGCCCTTGTATAGTTTGTGTTTCATTAAATTTAAGCCTTTGGCTCAAATTTAAATTATGGCAAGCATGAATTACAAACAAATTTAAGTTTCCTCGTAAGATTTACGATAAACTCCGAGATTGACAGTTCAGATAAAATATTGGAGCTAACCTATTCAATTTACGCTCTTTCTTTCTTGATATTTTTCTTGATATGTTTTGATTAAATATATTCTAGAGATGAGCTATTTGAGCTCCCAACAATTTAGTACTTCAATTCAGCCAATTCATCTTCTAATGTCGATTTTAAAGCTATTTTCTCCTTAACGTTATTCTTACATTATCTCTGAACTTTTCATTAAATCATTTCTATCGCTTCTTTTAATTACCGCCGATTAATTAAACGGTCAACGATGATTAAAGATGTCATAATTAAAGGAAAGATTCAGATAAGTGTCTATATGTATCGCACACATAATTATTCTCCAGAAAGAACGTTGATCTCATCAATTGTGACCCACTGCGCCACTTCAAATTACGAAACAATTGCGTTGCTAACACAGATTATAAAATATAATTTTTATATATACGACTTTCAACAAGTGGTGCTTAATAAATTAATGCTAAACTGCTGTATTCAATTATGGAAATTACGGTCTCTCTCAAACTACCGAATTATACCCGAGACTAAGCGAGAGCCGGATGCTCTTTTTTCGAAATTTTGACAAGATGAACTCTTATATCAGTTATATCAAGACAGCACTTTCACTTTTCACGAAATATCTTGACATTATTCTGCATTTTTTTATATTTTAAGGTAGTTACATTTTAATTTTACGTATATTTTATTCATTTTTAACTTTTATGTCCAAAAAAATATAATAACTTATTTTATGCTATAGAAAATGAAAGTCACACAGTAAAATATGTGGTATAAAATGTCACGTTATTTTGTTGTAAAAAAATATATATTTGAACTTTCGGTACTTTGCTAGATAATTTTATTGTATGCAGCAAACAGCCGAGTTAATATCTTGAATGTTATTGGAAAAAAAACGTAACGCTTTTAATAGATTATGTATTTTAAATGCTATTATTTACACTCTAATCACGTCGATGTGTCATACATATCTTGTGATAAGATTGTTTATCACTTATCAAACATTGATACGATCAAAAAATAAAAGAGACGCTAATAATAAGTAATTATCTCAAAGAGAATATCTTTCTTTCGTTATCTCACTTGAAGCATAAAATATAATATAAATAAAAAGAATGGATAAAAATTTTTTTTTTTAATATCGCACTAATAAATATAACATTTACTTCAATTTTAGCCAATGCTGACTGTACCTTTGCAATATAAAAAAATATTAATAAATTGATTATCACCAAATCAGCACACTCTCGATTTCATAAAGAGGAAGCGTTGCCACTTTGGATTATCATCAGCGTGATCGTCATCACCGCGATATCGGGAATAAAGAGAAATATAACACTGCTGTTATGAAATGTAACACTGTTGCTTTGAGTGGTTTACTTGGAACTGGCGTACTGTTTAAGACTCGACCAACTACGACTAATCTAGAGAGGCACGCACCACTTAACTGAAACATGGACACGTATCTCCGAGACGAACGATCCCGATCGAGATATGCGCACAACGACCGCAGAAGTCGGTTGATCCTGGTGAATACGTCCAGCAGCAAGAAAAAGGAGCATATGAGAGCCAGTTGGGACCACGTCACAAACATACCGTCACCGGTCCAACGTGAAGACTCCCCGTTTGCCTACCAAACCCAACGTTGGGACTCACATGGTCGGTGACGAGACAGAAGGGGAAACGGAAATGATTTTACGGCTATTCTTATTCAGATACACACACGCACACACATATGTTACAGACTGTTTTATCCTCTCGTATTCTCGGCTCCGTACCTCTGTGCCTTTCGTTCTCCCGTTTGCTCTCTCGCCTTGACACAATATATGAGAACTGTACACCTATAGGTACACGGGTCGGAGTAGGGCTATCACTGTGTATGTTATGATTGTGATTAGAGGAACAATTGCCACGTGTCGTGATCAAAATGCGCGTTGGCGGAAGAATATGTTATGTACGATTTGAATGTTAGTGGAACAAATTAGTCATATTTTGCACAAGAGAAGAAAAGTAACTTTTACGTAGTATATAAAATTCACTCTCTTAATTATCATTATTCGAGGTACGGCTAAATTAAGAGTAAAGTAGCATACAATCGACGAAAGTTAAATTCGATTATAAGCCACACTAATTACAGGAGCTTTCAATCCTCGAGATAATCGAGTTTAATTTGAGGCTTAAGACTAAATCTTTTATATTATTGATTAGGTCACGTGCCGTATTAATAATCGGGGGAGGGAGTGTTAACATTTGATTTTATCTCTAGAAATATATATTTCAATTTATGAATCAGCTATAATGTGTGATAATCTAAATGTAAACGCAATTGATGCGGTGATTATGATTTAATACATAATAATAATTAATATGACAGAATCTTTAATAAGCTTAAAACAATAATATTATTTTAATTGGAATATTATTTTACACATTTGTATAATGTGTAAAATAATATTTCACATTAATAATCCAAACAGCAAAAGTTTCATTAAGTTTTATTAATCATTAATTTGACCAATTAATGATTAGACTAGCTAACAAGATTACTGATTAAAACAAAATAAAAAGTGGAAAAATAATTCTTTAAATCCTTGTTAGAATATAAAAAATATATATAATTTATATCTTTATATTAAAATTATTATTTACACGCGTAGAAGATTACTGTGTACATTATTCTTGGGCTGCAGTGTATGAAATTAATTGCAAATACCAGAAAAATTCCAGGATATAAAGCGACAGTATTTTAAACAACTTTACGGTTTATATAAACATTTTCTTGGACGCAAAAAACACACACCCGAACTCTAAATGCATGATTTCATAATTCTGCCAAGAGTAATTAAAAATCTCTCGCTGAATATTCAAATGCAAGGGAATAAAAATGTTGTCCACGAGAAATAGTCGGTAAATACGGAATGTACGTGAAAAAATTAAATGAATATACCGAACGCTCTTATTTTCCTTGACTCTGACACGAGGATTCCGCGCAAAACAGTTCAAGCATTATTTTCCCGACTATCTCTTCCGTGATTTTTCGAAGCGAGAGCAATCTCAAATCTTTCATGCCGAAAATATATACGCACATTAATCATTCGTGCGTAATCGCAAGGCAATAATATTTACCCTTGTACGAGAAATATTGCGATACGACGTGACCAGGAAAAGAAACGATACTATCTTCAATACGATATTACATTTGCATATAGATATATACATATAATACCATGATATAAAATATGTTTATATTAATGCAAGTTAATAAATAGACTATATTTTATGAATACTTACAATAGCGCGTGTCATTAGGATTATTCTCTTGTGGATTCTCGGTTTAGCAGCACAAATTGTAATCATTTCAAAAAGATTTATCTCGTATCGTTATTTCGGAGTCTCTCTTTTTATTTCTCTTGCTCGATAAGCGAGATTTTTGCAAAATTTATATCGTGACGTATTCTGTTGGACTACAAATTTTCAGGATAACACATATACGAAAGATATCGCGCTATTATTATAAAATTACACATAATTTTAATGTTTTATTAAATTTTAATTTTAAAAATAAGCAATAATATCACAAAATTTTTTACACTTACATAAATATATTACATTTGTCGATTATTACGTTAAAATCAAAATTCATTATTTCTATTGCAAATTAATTTAATACACTTGACAATTTAAAAACATTGCGTCAATGTTTATTCTCACTGCATTACATTATTAATATTGTATAATAAATCTTTTCGAAAACATCTCTTCGATGACGTTTTCGTGTATCAAACGCGTAAATCGCGTATCAAACAAACCATGAATATAATCAATCTATCGCGATTTCTTTGAGCACTCGTGATATGTACCACAAGGGAATTAGCAATAATCGCGATGATTTGCGCCTCCTTACAACGTTCGATTGTACAATTGCCATCAGATCGATGCAGGTTACAATCGCGAATCACCGGTAAATAAATAAAATCCGATACGTTTATACGATTGTATACTTGGCGTAACATTGGAGCACAGACTGTCACTTTCATCGATCCACAGGTGGCTCGAGCACGAGAGAAAGTAAAAGGAGACGGATTGTGCAATTATCGTCGCTATAATAGCTCGAACAATTTCAATTCGACAAACAGCGCTGTATCGATAGCGTACGCGTACTAATTGGATTATCGACTCGCCTAATGATCGTGATAATGAGAAAAATAATTTTAATCGTTTTCACGCTGAAATTATGTCACATACATGATTAATATGAGACATGTTTTTGAACTCGTTTTTTATTTCTGAGCAAAAAAAAATAAATATATAATTGACAAGCCATTTTCTTAATCTCATTATATAAATTTGTTTTTACTTCTGGAATGAAAGAGAAATGTATAATTGAAAGTGAGCGTTTCTCAGGATGATAAGCCATTTTTATAATCTTATTTCGAGATTAAATGTAAGAGTTTAAAAATGGGAAAAGTTAAAAGCTGTTTATACTTTTTAAACAGCTTCCTATAAAACTGAAAAGCTTTTTGAAATTAAACATTTCGTATGCAATGACTCGTTACTTTTGGTTTAAACAAGTTTCAGGAAATATCACGTTACCTGCTTTCTTTGCCGCAACGGAAAAGCATCGTTTCAACTTTGCGGTATTCGAATATATGACAGCTTAGCACATTGTATGCTGATGCGTGTACACAAAATTGGAACGCGATGATACAAAATATCGCGTTCCATCGAAAACAATATTCTATTATTTGAACCGATAACGTTATTACCGTCGGTTTCCTTATTTTACGTATCATATCATTGCGTCTCAGTTTTTAGTCATTACATCTACCTTTTTCCATGCTTTAGAAATATTTTATTTCATAAAATATATATATATATCAATTGCTATCGTCGTAAAATGATTCCAAAACATTTCAAATTTTATATGATCCAAACAATTTATTTATAAATAAAAGTCATAAGAAGCGAAAAGGTATTACAAAATTGCGAAGACTTCTAAACGCCAGACCCAGACAGCACATGTCCCTAGAAGACGTCTAAAAGAAGATTTAATTAAAGACGTCTTGTTGTCCTTTAGACATCTTTAAGATGTTTTTTAGCCTTCTTGTGCTGTCTGGGGAGATTTACTAGTAATGCCATCGTCACGTGTGTTGTCTTTCGCGCCGCTTTGCAACGATCGATTCGCAACCAATTTGTAGCGCAATATGAAAAAGCATGACCTGTATCGATAGAAACTTATCTCATTAATATTTTAGTAAAGTATATAATTGTAGTTATTGATTCGAAGCACCAATTGTCTCTTGTTCGATTCTAATAACAATTTTCAGCTTTGAGAGTGGTACCTCATCCTTTGTACAAACGTCATTAAAATAGTTTTTATTACACAAAGAAATTTAAACTACTATAATTTATTATAATTTACTATAATTAACTACTATAATTTACTATAATTTATTCCTTTCATTACGATATCTATTTCTGAAATATTGATATATATACTTGTTAAAAATACCTATTTCGTTTGCATTGGACAATTTCCCGCAAATGCTATATTCAAATTAATTTTTATACAAAGGAAAACGTGCATAAATTATTCAAACTATTATGCAAGTGCATATATTCATCATACGATTTTATCTGCTTTATTTTTTTTGCTAACACAGAAGTAACTTTGCAAAATGTGGAACTTTTTCCATAATGAAGAATAATAGTTTCTCATTGAAGTCAAGAGCTTGCGGGAAAAAAAATTTCATTCAATTCAATTTGAAAATGAGAGACATTAATCACGAGAGTTGTTTGCAATCTTCTCTTGAACGTAATAAAAGACTGCGAGACTAAGAAATTTAAATTCTCGAATCTGTATAATGAAAGGCCAATTATATCAATTAATTTTGTGCAATAACCTTGTCTCTGTATTTAACTTTTTTTTGTAAAAGTCTAGAATTTCATTTACAGTTTTTTTTCAAACTCTGCGACAACACCGACACTTATCAAAATGTGTGTAACAGGATTCATTCACACGGGTGTAACAGGAGACGAAATAAGTTGTCAGCAATTTTTCGCTGACACACCGTTGACGATTCTGCCTATCGAGTCCTGGGTTAGTCGTCGCCGGTATGATCTAGTGTGAGGATCGGTAAAGCCATAAAAAAAAACTTCTTACGAGAAAATTTAGTCTCAAGGAACAGTTTAAAAAAATTCGCGAAAGTAAGTAATTACAAAAATATATTTTTTTTGCATCGTATATATTCGAGATTTAATGTAAATTAGTTAATACCAGGAGAATACGATTAATTCCAATCATAATTATTTTGTTAACAATTAGTGCACTTCGCGAATAAATCGGATAAAATGCATAATCAGAAACGACTATCGCTAAAACATCAGATAGTCGATGTTCCAATTTATTCACCATGTCACACCGTGTTGGTGGATTCGGGAAACACAGGTAAATTTTGTTACTCTACAAGTAATATCTTAAAAACACAGATCTAATTTATCTTTGCTGAAAACTTTAAAAAGTATATTGATAATATAAAAAAAAAATAATAGAAACATATTGTTACATTAAACTTGTATTAAAAATTTGATAAGTTCTTCGATAATAATAATATTTTATGGCGTATATTTTATTATTTTTATTATATATTTACGATATTTCAGGATTAATATTAATTGTGTAATTTTAGGCGAAACACTAGACAGATGTGAGACAAAGTCGGACAAATGCGATCGTTTAAAATTTTGCGGAAAGGAATGCATTGCTGTTACTGTAATAATCTCTGTGGTGCTGATCGTGACTTTGTTGAGGCTTGCTCTTATTTTTTTCGTGAATAAAACTTTAGGTTAGTAAATGTCATATATGTAAAGAAAGCTGGGCGTGTGCGCTTTATTTTCGCCGAGAAATTCGTTCCACGCGATTGCCGATTTCCAACCGATGTCTTCAAAGAGTCATCTCTTTTGCCATGATTCACTTTTCAGATCCTCTTCATTGGGAATCAAACATGGATCGGTTCATCGAGCTCAGCGAGCTTGACGCTAAACCGATGGTGGAAAGAGAGTTTATTGAAAATCCATTTTTCAACGATCAGATGAACCTCACGAATCAGATAATGCAAGCAGAAAGCGATGCGCTTTCTTACATATATAACATTGATGCGACGAATGAAGGTGACACGCGTTCCAAACGAGAGATATCACGCGCGAGGAGAGACTGCGAGATGAGCGCTGAACGTTGCGGGATGCTGTTACACACGATGGAAAGTTATTTAAAGAATCTCAAGAATAATGTACTAAACGACGAATATCCCGTGGCCGTATCGGACATTTTAAAATGTCTGAAATGCAAGGCGCAGTTGACTGACGCGAATAAATTCAACGAGGATCCTACGCCGCGATCGCAAGATCAATATTTCTCTCATGACTACGCCGAGCAAAATCGCTCGAGCGATTCCGGTATCACCGCTATCAAATTGCTGGATAACGAAGAGGCTAAACGGACGGAAATTAATCGAACGGAAGCGGCGAAAATTCAAATGACGGTGACGGAATCGCTTATAAACGATGTATCGCAGAATTCTGCGAATGAATCATTAAAAAACATCGATATATCGAAAATTACCACTATATCGATTGATCGTACAAATTACAACGGAAGTCAGCAGGTAGATACAAATACGACTGGCATTAATAACAGCTCGACGACGAGTATAAACGACGAACAGCCGGACGATGATCTAATCGACTCGCGTACGATGACAACCCAAATCGATGAAAGCAGTTCTTCCGCTGTATCAAACTCCGATCAACAAACTGAAAGCGAAGGTGCAACAAATGAAACCGTAACGCTGCAGTTTGATACGACAGAGTCGAGTAGCACGACGCAATATAATGTTACGGAAGACGATGCAATATCCAAAGGAACCGTAGATTATTCGGTAGGATCAACTGAAACGAATACGCGGTATCCCGTCGATCTCGCAAAACAAATTACAATTGCTGAAAACGTGACGAGTATGCCAGCAGGATACGACGTGACCGGAATCGACAGCGATGATGACAGCACGGGGCATCCTTCGGTGCAACCTTCGTTCGAAGGACACCCGGAAAATCAATTGGCTACAACGGTAAACGGTATGTCGTTGCATAAAAAAAGTAATAATGAAATAATTAAAGGTCGAGACATCAAACTTGTTAACTATATTAATACTTGCGTTCTATCAAAACAAGCTTCTTGAAATTAAATACTTTCTTCTTGTTTTTCCAGTCCATTCCTTTTTCATTTCGTCACGCGAGATATTTTTTTTTTTTTTTTAAGTCTATTGAAAATAATTTATAATGTATGCGGAAGAGCATACAATAGAAATTTATTATGAACTGCATAATCTCGTGAAGTTATATGAATGAAGTCTCGGGAATTTATTTATAATGAAAGAAGTTTGATGTGATTTAAAATGAAATGTTCAAAGTTTGTTTAACTTTTTTTACTCATGTAATCCGAAAATACAATAACTAATTTTTTTCCTGACCGTCATAATTCTGGAGTTGCTTTCGCTCTTCGTTAATAACAGAATATAAATAATTTTTCCAAAATATAATAATGCAATTTTTAATAAATATACGCACAACAGTTTCAGAATCGACGGAGGATCACAGTGTTTTCAGTGAATTCACATCGGACGATTATTCTGAAACGGAGAACAGCAGCGAGTCGATCCAAGCAACTACCGAGAGTACGAAATCCTTCCAGCATTTGCAGATGTTACATCCCGTCTGCATCTTTGATTATTCAGTTAGCCAATCTTCCAATATGCCTCCTCCAGCGTCCTCTTATCCAGATTCGTCCGATCCTTCCATCACGCAAAATCGTGAGTTTCCGTTCCAGAAATCTCCTTATCGTGGTTTCCCGTCGTCGAATTACATGCAATTACAGGCAAATACGATGCAATTTATACCGGGATTCGGTTATGCCGGCAATCTGCCGCAAGCTCAGCCGGCGGAACAAGGTCCTATGGGATCCGGCGCATCAAAGGTATCGCCGATCACGCTCGATCAACAGTCGATGGCAAAGACGCCGTACTTTTGCGGCTACATGTCATTGCCGATTCTTCACTTTTCGTCGATCTCCGACACGTTGCAATCTGATCGCTCCTCTGTTGATAAAGCGAAGGATTCTCCGCCGGAAGAACCGCGAAAGCTTTTTCAAAAGGACGGAACTGTCGTATCGCAGGACTATTCAGGTATAAACGACATGTCGTAGATTTTTCGTGGCGATTTTTTCAAAGAATCTGACCTATCACTTCTCTTTTTTTTTTGGTATTGTTAACGACATATGTTTGCTATGGAAATTTTAAGTTTAAATTGAATTGAAATTTTCTAAGAAAATAAAAGTAAATTAGAATGTTGCTTTTAACAATATGATAATTATTTCAGCGTACAAATGTCCCCAAAATTATTATCAATGCGATAATTTATTCTGCATTCCGGAGATGAATAGATGCGATGGCCGTGCTAATTGCTTTGATGTCAGCGACGAGATGAATTGCTCTTGCAGGGATCGGGTATTACGAGATCAAATTTGTGACGGTTATTTTGATTGTCCACATGGAGAGGACGAGCTCGGCTGTTTCGGTAATTTATGAATATTGTATTAAATCTTTTTTTTTGTATATTTGCATTATTTTACAATTGATTTATTTAAAATATTTATTTATTCGATTAAAATATAACGCTATGTAAGCATTAACAAGACAAGATTGGGACAATGTATATGACGTAGCAGAAATCTAAGCGATCAACTGAGCATTTTTTCACATTGTTTCTCTTATTGGATTTTTATTAAAAAATTAAAATTAATTATTTATTATTTAACAAAAATAATGTGAGTTTAATAAGTCTATTGTTAAAATAATAATAAGAGAATTATAAATGTAATATTTTTTTCTCAATATTGAACGATCACCAGATGACGCTAAATACTAGCTACATTTATATAAGATACTTTACCCACGAGACTTTCCTCCATTCACAAGCGCTTCATGCAAAACGCAATATATTTACCATATTACTAAGAATCTCATACAAATTACAGATTATTTAAATTTTAAATTTATATATATTTTTAGATTGCCCGGCAGACTCTTTTAGTTGTAATTACGACTCGTACAATCCTCTACGGCATAATTGTGTGCCACTTTCGCAACGTTGCGACGGTATTAAACAATGTTCTGACGGAAAAGACGAGCTGGACTGTACTATACTTTCGGAATCATACATAAGTCCAAAAGATGTACGAACAAATAAATGTGTTCACTATTATAAATTATTTAAATATATAAAATTTTTTAATTTCTCCGATTTATCGTTCATCATTTATACTTGGACGTATATTATTCACTTTTATTATTACTTATAAATTATGCGACGATATTGTTTCATTTTTAGATATCTACCGTTGGTTATACTCAAGGATATTTGCATAAAAACGTACAAGGACAATGGTATCCCGTTTGTTCGGTCACATCTTCCTGGGCGATTGATGCTTGTCTTTCGGAAATTGGTCAACCGCTAACGTACGTCATCAATTGTTATAAAATTTACAGCATACGTACATCGGACATATTATATTTAAAATTGAGATGAAAAAAAATATGCTAACAAGAATCTCTGATGTAAACCTTTTAGTTAACAATCGACGAATTCTTAATATATCGATGTATTTTTATAGAGCAATACCGGATATACAAATCGTACGTGTGCCTGAAAATGTCTTTCGAGATCCTTACGTAAAAGAAATCGACGGTCAGATAAAATTGACATCGTGTTCGGGTACAGCAATATTCGTGAGGTGTCCGCCGTTACCATGCGGCATAAAAACTATCCCGTATCAGGATTCCTTCCGTACTGTCGACGCAATGAGAAACGATTATGTATACAAAAGACAGGGAAAGGAACAACACGTCTTGTATAAGTTCAATAAGCTTTATCAGGAAACGCTGGGGCTATTGGACACGAAACATTCGGCGTTCGAGAAAAAAGAGCAAAATGAAAACGATACTCTCGTTGGAGCGCAATCGCGAGTAGTCGGCGGTCGAGCTAGTCAGCCCAAAGCCTGGCCATTTTTGGTTGCCATTTACAAAGACGGTCGTTTCCACTGCGGTGGTGTTATTCTCAGTGAAATCCACGTACTCACCGCGAGTCACTGCATGGAAGGGTAAGAAGTATTTTTAAAGGAATTTTCAAAAAAGTATTTTTAGCTCGTAACTTTATAATAAGCATAAGCGGTGGATACACACATGCGATTAGATTTTTTAGATATAAATATTTTTTCATGGAAAAATTTTCCGATAAATTTTATAAATTTAGATACGAAAAACACTATTACGAAATACAAGCCGGCACCTTCAGACGGTTTTCATTTTCACCGACGACTCAATCGAGGAAAGCGAGATTTGTGATTACTCATCCTGAGTACGAAAGTGAAAATATGCAGAATGACATATCGATTATCATGCTGGATAAACCATTCCTTTTCAACCGATGGGTCCGTCAGGTTTGCTTACCGTCTTCAAGCATCCTGGGCTCTGAATGGAATGAGGAACCATCACCACTATCTATGTGCATTGCTATCGGATGGGGAGCCTTAAGAGAAGATGGACCAAATTGTAAGATAAACTTTCAAAATCCGGGTAATAAGTTTGCGTATCTTTCAATTAATAAATGTGCATACAATACTCGCACATTCTATCAACTGTGTATGTAAAATTATTTAATCGATTTTTTATCTTTTTAAACAAAACCTCCGTCTAGTATTGTATCTATGTAAGATATACAAATTTTTTAAAATCTGATGACAAGAAACATGGAAAGTTAGAATAAAACTTACGTCTTTCATTTTGTCTTGAAGCAATTTTATTAATTTATAAACTATTTGTTTAAATTATTGAAAACTATGGGAACATTAAAAATAAAGCTACAATAATTTACAAAATGATACGCAAGCTTCACATACATTTATTATTTCAATCAATATATTTCAAGATGTACCTTAATATTTCTTTTATATTTTGTAAGATTTAAAGACATTTAAAAATATGATCCTTTTCTTTATTTAAAAATAAAATTTTATTTTAGCGGATTATTTGCGAGAAGTAGAAGTACCGATTTTGCCAGGGTGCAATCATCTGCCCGATCAGAATAACGCCACGATCTGCGCAGGATATCCTGAGGGTGGCCAGGATACCTGTCAGGGTGACAGTGGTGGTCCTTTGATGTGCAGGTAAAAATTGTGAGGCAATGCCTCGATCAAAAATCTCTTTTTGAAACATGTCATAAAAATATTACTCCCATAGAAATCGAAATTTTGGCTCACAATGGTATGTAGCGGGCCTAGTCAGCCACGGTGAGGGATGTGCACGTCCGAACGAGCCTGGTGTTTACATGAAAATAAGTTATTTCTTGGACTGGATTCATCAAATGTCTAATATGTTAAGTAAGTGTTTGAAAATTTTTTAAATAATTAAATGGACGCGAAATATTCTCACATGATTTTGCATGTTATTATAAATATTTGAAAAGGGATTAAACATAGATTTTGCGCATTTTTTCTCTTATATTTTTATTTTAAAATATATTATTTTGCAGATAATTTTACGGAACCCTTTAACAATGATAAAAGACCTTTGGCCAATTGTCCAACATTTAGCTGCGACGACGGAAGGTGTTTGCCGATAGAACAACATTGCAATCGAATTATAGATTGTTTGAACGGAGAAGATGAAATCCAATGTTACCCGTTTGAGGACCCGTTTGAGGTATCGCCTCCGAATATGAATAATGGCATGTATAGACAATCGGATAATAATTTCAATAAAGAGATTGTGAAATCACGAGCAGATGAAACATTCGACAATAATATGAAAAATCGTAAGTTAAAAATTTATCTTTTTATAATTTTATTATAGGTCATAAGTTTTTGATTTTTAATAAAATAACAAGACATAATTGGAAGAGTGACACACAGGAATCCACATGTATATATATATATATTTTTTTTTATTATATTCATCGTGAAAATTTTGTATCACAGAAATAACCACGGAAGCAATTCCCATCTCTACTTCTTACCGTTTCTTCTACAAAACGCAGACTGATATTGACGAAGATTCTAGTACGTCGAATGTTTTTGCAATTAATCCTAAAACAACAAACGTTAGATTAACGTTCACGTGTAAAAGGCGAGTTATGAGAAATATCATAATATCTATTATAACTATCAATAATTTAAATCGAAGTTTTTTACAAGAAAATCAATACCCGTCTCTTTTTTTTAGATTGATTCAAACTATAACGATCGATAAGAGATGCGATAGGCACTTAGATTGCGAGGATGCCACCGATGAAGAGGATTGCACGTGTCGAGATTATCTGTCAAATCTGCAATCAACGGCGATTTGCGATGGACGTGTTGATTGCGACGATGAAACGGACGAAAAAGATTGCGGTATGCGATTAAACATAATCCTGTCGATCTTCATCTATCTGACGAATAATTAATCTCGTTTCAGATATATGCAGAGACGACGAGTATTACTGCAGCAGGAGTGAAGGGTGCATCCCGATAACGAATAGATGCGACGGCAATTTTGATTGCCCTCTGAGCGAGGACGAACTCGATTGCCGTAAGTACATGATTTAAATTCTAAATGATAATTAAATGTGTGTAAAAATATTAACTAACATCGATTGCCATTTTCTTTTCAGTTACACTGACCAACGGAGAATACGTGAACGTAGACAGCGATGATCAGACAGTTTTAAACAGGGAGGGTTTACTCAGTAGATACTACAATGGGGCGTGGCATGTACAGTGTCTTGAAGCAGAGATACTGGATAATAATACCGTAACGTCGACAATCGGACGGAACTTATGCGAATATCTTGGGTTTGCGTACGTTTCCCTAGATTTTTGATAATTTAATAAATTTAGCATTTTTCTTTTTTATTTTACAAGCAATTTTCCAAATATTATATTGTAATAATATTTGTTCAAAATGTAAAAAAATTTATTTAATTAATTATAAAGTAATTAAAATTGTAATAAAAATATATCTATGTCGCATCCAGAAATGTGCAATCAACGCATAAAGTCGTCGCGAACAAGACAATGCTGGAAACGAGATCCTGGCGAAGGTGGGATAACATTACAAGTTACGAATCTTCGTCGTCAAGCGAGGAAGACGGGACCTGTACGACGTTACAGATTCGCTGCAGACAGGTTTTAAGCAGCAGTGCCGACACGCACCTGATCGTCGATCCAAGAACCGGGAATTATACCTACCTGTGGCCATGGCTGGCCGCTATTTTCGTCGACGGCCGTTATCGCTGCTCGGCCTTACTCCTGGAACCAAACTGGCTTCTGTCCAGCTCAAGCTGTACGAAAGATATAAAGTGAGTGAACTTCTTGCCTTCTGTCCAAGATTCTTCTTTATCTTAAAAATATTTTTGCGATACGTCTATTAAATATGGATTGTGCAAAATTTGGTGAATATTTCGTTAACCTCGCGATTTTTTTCAAATTAAAAATTTGATTTTTTCGACGACGAATGAATAACGAAAAATAAATTACAGATTATCGATGAATTATACGACAGCCCTGCTTGGACAAAGCCGCTCGTATCTCTACGTCGACGGACCTCATCAACAGATCTCGGTCGTTGACGAAATCAGGAACGTGAAAACATCGGAGGTCTCGTTGTTCCATTTGAAAACTGCAGTAAATTTTACCCGTCATGTCCGGCCACTATTTCTAGAAAAGAAGTGCGTACATGCTTAATTACACATACACATTCGTTTGTATATACCTTTATTATAATAAATATAATATTTACTTACACTAATTATATTTGTCGAATTTTTACAGAATCTACCCGCCAGCGAGCAACGATTTATGCGTTGCTGTCGCCACAGACAAGGAACACGTGACACAATCAATCTTTCTACAACCGGTCCTTCAAAATTGCAACAATTGTTATCGCTGCTTCGTTAAAACTGCAAATTTCGAATGTCCGGTAAGTGACCTTATAATACTAAACTATATAATTATTTAATTATATATTAAACTATGATTTATTTATTAGTGTTGCATATCTATATTGATTGCATCTAAAATCTTATTTCTATTAATTTCCTAAAATATATAGATTATAATTAAATTTTAATTTCTAATATTTTCTGCATTTTTAGATCAATGAAACTTCGTCGAATTGGAGCGGAACGGTGTTCTGTCGCAGCGAGAAGGGATGGTATCCCGCTGCAGTATTTCACGAAATCGACGACTTGTGCAGTTTCCGAAGCATGCGAAATTTGACAAGCATCGATTACATCCACGCTTTCCTCATGCATATTCTGGGTAAACTGCCGTGTGGATGTTTTATGCCAAAATATCTTTATGTCATGTCACAATCCGATCATCGGATTAATATCCTCGTCGCGTTAAAGAAAACGAAATAACTCTTTTGTATAATTTAATTTTTTCACCGTTGCAGAGACGGACCCGGAGCCGACATCTGAACCGATGTGCAACGGGGTTCGATGCAACATCGGACAGTGCGTTCCTTGGAGTCAGGTATGTGACGGTGTAGGTGACTGTCGAGATGATTCGGATGAGAAAGACGAAATGTGCATGGGTGAAGTGCAACAGACTAGTGGTAGTGACAAATTTAAAAGTAAGTAATTTTATCATATTTTTAATTTTATTTTTTATGAATTTGTAACATAATTGGATCTCGATTTAAAATCTAAGAGACTTAGATTATTGATTAACTTGTTAAATTTATTAAACTATTGCTTAATCAATTTTTCTTAACTAATTGCAAATTAGTTTTTTTTTTTATATAAATCCATGTTCTTTTAATGTTCTTTTTTTTTATGTAGAATGCGCAAAGTCGGAGTTGCGGTGCAGGAATGGCGAGTGCGTCTCGAAGAGCGCTTTCTGTGACGCTAAAGTAGACTGCTCAGATGGAACAGACGAACCCATAACGTGCACGTGCGCGGAATATTTAAGGCTAACAATACCGGAACGGTTGTGCGACGGTGTGCGACATTGTCTCGATAAAAGCGACGAGTCGCCGGAAATGTGTCAATGCACACAAACCAGCTTCAAATGCAACGCGTAAGACACATGTATAAATATAATCATGATATCACCCATAAAACATCATCTCAATTTTTTTAAGAAATAAAAAAAAAGATAAATTTTAAAGAAATTATTATAATCAATAATATTGTAAAAATTGTAAATGTACTTTATATATACACAGAGTAAGCGACAATATTACCTGCATCTCGCAAGATTTCGTGTGCGATGGTGACGAAGATTGTCTGAATGGCGAAGATGAAATGGAATGCAGAAAGATCGAAAAATCGACGGATGACAGGTCAGATGCAAAATCTTATAAATTTGTAATATAAAATAAAAATAGTTACATAACATTTTTTTCTAAATTATTTTGTAGGCCTGGCACAGGAGAAGTGATGCAACGATCCTACGGCGTATGGCATTCTCAATGCTTTTCGTTACCAGTAACATCGCAGGAAGAAGCAAAGATTGTATGCCAAAAAAATGGCTACACAAATGGAAGTATCGATTCTGAAAATCAAACTTTGAGCGAGCCTGTTATTCCGTCTCGCGATGATTTTTATATGATACGATTAAATTCGTATACGTGGATAACAATGCGCGATGATAAACCGCTTATATCTTTGGTCCGACCGAAAGAATCTTGCTATCGTCTCTTCGTCACATGTAATTGATAAAAGGCATAAAAAGTTAAGGTAATCTCGTTAGAATACTTTCATCTCCATATTCTATTTACGATGACTGAAGGAAGATAACATATTTTTTTCATTTTAAAAATTAATGTAGGGAACGTAAAACATGATCCAATTTCATACATCTTTAATTTATTTAATTAATGAGATTACAAACAAAATGAATGAGTCATGTTAAAAAAGATTTTTTTAATTAAATAAAAATAAATTTATTATATTTATATTTTTATGTTTATCTCTATATATAACATTAAACTATGTGATATTTTCCATAATTTGCAGTTTAAGTATCTTAATATCGATTTCTACAATTTCGTACATTATATAAGATAAAATCTATGTTTTCTATTTCTCTAAAATAGTGAATATAATGGTCTTAAAATGTACAGATATACATATTGTGTCTGTATTAATGAATAAGAAGTGTTGTATATAAAATATGAAATATACATTTTTGTGCCTTTTTATCCCACAACAAAAAATTCAAATATCTGTGTCGCGAAAGTAATATTCTCGAACGATGTAATTGAATTTTCTAATACCGTGATACGATCGCTATCGAGAACGTATACGTGTATGCGTAGGAAATAATGCGAATTAGTCATTTCGGGAATGCGAATTAGTCACTTCAGGCACTCTTTTCCGCCGTTCCATAACATTCAAAGGAGCCGGGGACGCAGTCGTTTACCAGCAAATATTTTTATATGCAAGATATTAACCTTTTTTTTTGTTACATAAAGGTATGAGAGACAATTCGGATCTGTTTATATATTGACTGATGTTTTGATATAATCTTATTTACAGACTGCACAATTACATAGGTGTTATAGGACAATATCAACAATGGCGGGAGAACAACAGCAGTTTTTTTTTTTAAATGGAACGACTTCCAACCGAACATGATATTGTCGTTCAAACACCTGCGAAATGAAAAAATTTGCACGGATGTGACGTTGGCTTGCGATGGTCAAACTTGCAAAGGGCATAAAATAGTCCTGTCTGTCTATAGTCCTTATTTCAAATCCTTGTTAGAGATATATTGTTTATATTACAGCAAAGTAAGTGATGGAGAGAATTTATCTTTTAGGGGCCTGTGCTGTCTGAGATATTTTTCATTATACATAATACGTATTATTTATTCGTAAAACGTGATACATTCATAATCGTAAATAGAGTATGTTATAAAGTATAAAAATATACATGGTCACAATTTATACGTAAAAACAACTAATATTTGAATATATTATTAGGTAGTGATCACAGAGTTTGCATTTTTCTAGCATGCTTGATTGTGTATTATGCGGCAAGCGCGTCAAATAGAAAAAACTTTGTCGGTGGTATGAGGTATATTCCTCTCTCCGCTTTATCTATGCTTATTTTTCGAATGGATATTTCATCTTATTTTCCAGGTGGATCTATGGAATAAAATATGCGTAAGTATGCGCATCGTTTTCAAAATAATATAAAACTTTTAGCAATAACTCTATGTTTCGTTCTTACAAGGCGTGGGAAAATTAAAGACTGGATATCTTGGTGCGAAAGGCTCGTTAGCACCGTGCACGTAATTAGATTCATCGTGATCTTTAATACTATCCGCTCTTTGTATACATTCTTCATATGATGGCGGCGCTAGATAAAAATATTAATTTCTTAAAATTATTTTTCTTCATACATACGCGCACACATACAACATATCATCAACTGATTAAGATAATAATTTTCCAAGATGAAATCGATATTCATTTATACGGTACAAAGTACGATTCAATATATATTTATTTTTAAGATTAATTATATTCAATTTATAAAACGATTGTTATGTGTATGTCAATGGAACTTTATTTATAAAAAAAAAGTGGCATCTACTCACGTATATCCCATTGGTTAACCGAAGTGCTAGGTTGATCTGCAGAGATAAAATCTATGGGTTCAGGTCCTGGGTAAGGCAAATTTGGTGGAGCATAGTCTGGAGACATCGGCATTGGCGGGGGCGGGTCATTGTATTGCATCATAGGAGCTGTAGGCTGTATGGTTTGTGTATAAGGTACAGATGAAATTATTGGGCACAGTGGGATTGTCCCGATCAAAATCGGATAAGTCTTGGTGATGTTGCAATGCCTATCGCAGAAATTAAATTGATTTTTTAAGGAATTGTCTCAATCAATATAATTTTATTTTAATTTAATTAGAATTTTAGAGTAGAAAATTTAGAAATCTAAAAATCTTAGAAATCTTAGAAATTTAGAATTCTCGAGTTATTTATGTTACCGAGTTATCCAATCACATGTTTTTAAATTCTTTAAAATTATTAGAAATTATTTTATAGCTACTTGTGCAAGAGAAAAATTTGCCTATTTTTAATATATATATAAATTAAAATGCATTGATTATACCGTGCTTTTGAGAAATATATACGTACATTCCTGAAACGTGAATTGTAATGCATAACGTATATTTCTGATCTATTATGCTGCAAAATTCCAATTGGGATGGTGGTATCGGTGGAACTTGTAATCGTGACACAACGTCGACTTGTTGGTCAAACGGTCCTATATTTTCATCAGCCTTTACGACCGCTTTATCCTTTTTAGTCGAAGTATACGGCGTTTTTGCATGGAATTCCAAAGACTTCGTAAAAGAAAATTATAAAAGAACAATATTATAATTATATTGTATAGATCAAAAATAATTTGATAAGCAAATGATATAGCTATAGCCGTGAAATGTCACGATGACAGCGATTAAACTTACTCGTTCCAGTTTGACGCAGATCTTTCTCACATTGATAGTGCTGATATTATTCAAATTGATCGTCGTATCTATCGACTGTCCTGGAACGAATCCCGTTGTCGGTATTTTAATACGCGCGTTTATCGTGCCTATGTTGCAACAGCAGAGATTATAGAATTTTTCACTCGTTTCGTCGTCTACGCCGAGCTAATAAGAAACCATAGACATATAAAAATATATTGTACATTATATATTTGTGTGAGAAACAAATTGTCCACAAGTATATCATATTATTTTGCGTATCATCATTTTGTAGTTTGATCGCGAAGTTATTATTGCTTAATATCGAGATAAAAGAAATGCATACGTATAACTTTCGCATACTGATTTTACTTACACATTGTTGACTATGAGCGTTCAAATCGTAAGATGCGACGACGGTAAATGCGATCTTGCACTCGTGATTGAATCTCCATGGTCTATCAATAATCGCTTTCGTCGTATATCTGATGTGACCGTTTAGATGTTCCAAGCTACATGGTATGTTATAGGGTAGTGAAAAATTAAAAGGGTATTTATGAAACCCTGCTGGCATCCGCACTTCGCCATCACCTGTAATAATTTATAACGCGTGTACGGTATATATTTGATAAATTAAAAATATTTTATTGCATTAATCTGCGATTAATTCGAATTAATAATTGACGAACTAATCCTATTCAACTATCTTATCGTAATCTTATCGTATCCAGTTATAGATGCAATTATTATTTGGCAATGTCAATCTTATCTTATAAATATTACCTGTTGTGTTCGCGAACAGATAATAAGTCAGGTTGAAATATTGCTCGTTTGCTCGGAGATGATCAACCTGGGTGCGATTGCGAGATTTTGAATCGTTGACAGTTCTTGATCTCTTCCAGCTAACATTAGCTTCTCCCTTAACTGACAATTTCAGTGCTGCAATAAAAAAAAAGAATATATATTCCTTTTTATTGTTATCTATTTTTTCATATTAAAATGTGATACATATTAAAAATTAATTAATCTTTTCTTTCTTTCGCTCTCTCTTCTTCAAATATTAAAATAAATTCGATCATCACTGGTCAAACATAATAATCATTCAAAATTCTGTGTCAGCTAAAACATATCAATAGAATTTCTAAATGCGTAGTATATACATGCATAATCAGCTATAGCTGGTATATAAAAATAGATGTAAAAATGGTAAAACTATGCTGTATCTCACATATTATGTAGCGAAATATACCACAGTTTTTTTAACAATCTAACGGATTATAATAACTGGAATTATTTTTTAATAAATTTATTTTGACTTTAAAGACATACTGTAGAATGTGCATATTCAATTTTAACGTTCAAAAAATTAAGTCATTTAGAAATGCATAGGCGAGAATTATTTTATAATATGACTTGTCTTTATCACACACGAACGATAGTAAGAAAGTTTTGAGAAATATAATCCTGATATATTTTTTACTCCAATATTATTCGGAAAATAATTATGCATTTTAATCATTATGATTTCATTCTCAAAACGAATGCGAGATTAAAATATGTAATTTTAGTAGCTTTATTTACTTAAAACGTCGTCTATCAGAACGTCGTTTCTGATAACACTTCTGTGAATCGATAACTGTATACTGTATATTTAATTGACACTTCTCATTCGTATTCAATATTTAATTTGCTACGTAATTCTTTAATGTATTATTTCGCTTTATTTTTACAAAGTGTGTGCAGGATAAAGAAATTTCACAACATTACTGTTTACTATATTATACAATGGCCAAAAAACATGAGCATCCGATATGTTTTGCATATGTGATTTCAGATTATGTTGGTAAATTACGTCATACCAACAAGCGTCTGATAGGAAGTTATGACTAATAGAACTCTATACAGGGACGCACACACATTTGAGCATTCTTAGTAAAATATTATGTAAAATATTTGTATAATATTTATAAAAATAAAAAAAATATAGAGTATAAAGACATATCGTGAAGGCGTATGTTAAAATGTATGATCGCACAGAAACTGTTTCTATAAACACGATTTAATTAACAGTATTTAATTATCATAAATGCGTTGTATTTTAATGTAATAGAAATTTCTGATATAATTAATTTTTATTGCATAGTGATTAATGTTTTTCATTTAATTAGAGAAAGAATTCAATTTTTCATCCTTTCTTTTCTGAAACTACAAAGTTTGAAGTTTAAAAAAACAAGGTTTCTTTCAAGATGCTAGTACTTGTTCAGTCTTTCCTGATTGAACTTCTCAATTATTTGAATTTTATGGATTCACAGAATAAATATATTCAAATGTTCGTTTATCACATGTGTAAATCAAACAATAACACAGTCTTCGCGAGATTCGGCGTCTCTTTTTTACGGCACTGTTTTCACACTGTCACACATTTTTGCATATATATATGTACGTGAGTACTTTGGCGCCCGACGCTCATCCGACATGGCGCCGGCGGTACAATCGCTCAATAGTACTTGATCTCGTGCCGCAACATACTGCGATACGTGTATGCTGGACGTTATTTACCTCTGATGGATTTCTCCCTGACCAGGTCGACGATAACGTTGCCGGTGACTAGCTCGCCGGGCGCGTAAGTAGCACCTGGCCGATCAAACTCGACGCGAAAAGTTCTCAGCGACGGCATCTGGGAATGTGTCGAGATCTCGTTTTTTATCGAGTCGGATCGAGGTCGAGTGATCGATCACGCCGGTGCGGGATCCGAAGCGGGAAACACTAGATGTAACAGGTAAACGGGACGCTTGACGACTGAGTATGAATCCTTTCGCGACGTAGATACCGTATATTCTGACTAATTGCCAGTCGAGCTAGCATCAAGACCGTGGGTGGGTTCGTATCAGCACCCCACTAGAAACGTCATTAGGGTGCGTGCCATATCGCTCCCCTCGTGACAATACGATGGTAGTAGGAGATTTTTCATTCCTGATCTTTTTTGTCTAAATAGGGGTAAATCGCTGGAGAATCACAGTATAATAGGATGAGGATGTCAATATAGATGATATTAACAGAAGATACAATTATTTAAAAATAATAATTTTATGAAGTATTTAATGCATTTAAAAATATTCGATATAAAGTAACGTTATTCCCATTAACTGCGGTAACAAAAATATGTGTTATTCCTATCAATTTAAAAAAATTTGTATGTGAACAATTGGATGAAAAATAAGCGTATATAATATGCAGTTTGGATGTGCTTTGAAAAATTTTAGCGAATAGGCTTTAATGTACTTTTTAATATATATATTAATATGGATGTGTATTTATAAGATCTGAATGTAGAACTGCGAAACACTTGAGTCATCTAATAGTCATCCCACGCATAGGAAACTTAAATTAAGTCCTATAAAATATTAAAAAAACATGCGTCAATGTACAATTATATACCGTATATATCGTATATATGTGTGACGTCTATTGTAGGTTGATAAAAATAGAAATCTTCAAACGTCAACGTTTTACGGAGAATTACTATAACGCGGCATAAAATAATGTCAAATGCATGGTTACCGTTTCTTTGTATATGATACGTCATAGTAACGTGAAGATTATCAATTAATTATACGAATTATAAAAATCAAATTTCCAACTATTTTATCTACAAAACAGGCCATGTAAATATAATTAAAAAATAAAATTGGGTGATATTTAATGCATTGCGTGGCATGTATCTGCTTCCATTTTGGGAATGTCGCGAGTGATGTATTTTTATTCTTCGTCGAGACATTGGAAATGTGCTATTTTAAATGATTTTTGTCAGACCTACTATGCTCAATCGATGATTACGCGGAATTATATCGCGTATTGCGCGTTTTTATGCAAGTTTATTAAGTTGTAGATTGCGGACTGTCTTTCGATTATCTTAATCGATTGATTATCGAATTAAGATAGTCGAGGAAATCAATGAGATAAATTATCAAATTATTCTTTTGAATTTCTATATATACTGTGACATTTTTTTATTCTTTTGAAATGGATTGCTTGATAATGGCTTTTGTCAATATATGCCACGTCATTAAATTCGTATTGTATGCATCCGCTATCTTACGGTTTCTGATACTACTATGTAACTTTCATACATTCATATGGTATGGTCCGGACAATATCAAGTTATATAAATGATTACATTATCTTCTTATAATAATTGGTTTTTTTTTTATATTCGTACATTTTATCAACGCGCCTTTCTTTTCATCTTTTTTTCAGCGAGAATAAAGTTTTGAATTTATATTAAATAAATTATATATAGAAATGATATATAAGGAGAAATTTTATATGATATATGGAAATTTAAATAAATTATATATAATGCAAAAATATATAATTACAACTATACACATTCTTCATTCATTAGTGTATCTCTTGAATTAAAATAAAAATCGAAAATAAGGAATCCTACGCGAGTTAATGCAACGTATTATTATTAAATACTTATACAGATTATAAAATACTTTTACATATCGTTTCGAATAAATCACTTTATGTATATATCATATTTTCAAATCAAATTTCCAAAGTATTTATCATTAAAAGATTAGTAGCGTGACCAAAGATAAGATCCAGTTATATTTAATTAAGAAAAAATTGTGTGATTATGTTAATTAAACCTTATATTTAAAAACTCTCTAAAAACAAAATTTTACAAATGTATGATAACGCATAACAGCATAAAAAATATATGTGAATAAGAATGTTGCAATATATTTGTTTCCGCCAAGTTTTAGAACTTTAAAAATAAAAAGAATACATAATATTGTCTACACATTTCCGACACATGTTTAACATTCTCTTACATAATGTATGAACATTTTGCGTCAATCGATATATTACTTATCCATGTGTATAAGACCAAAAGAAAAACACAAGACGCAGATGTTTAGAATTTTTCTAGGTAAAATAGTCTAAACAATTTTTAAACTTGATTCGTTCCCTTCACCTTCTAGAGTGCGATAAAACATCAGTGGATTAATATGGTTTAAAACAATGTATTACAAAATTCAATTTTCTGACTATATTAAATATTTATTATGTATCTTATATATTTTCACAAAACTAAATACTTTCCAGTCTACACTCATAGGAAACAAATTTTTTTCCGATCTTTTTAAATTCGCAACAATTAAATTCGATTGTATATCTCATTGTAAGCCCCTTCCCATTAATTTCTTGTTTATTTTAATACAAAATATAATTATTTTACTATTGTAATTTTTATTTAATTCAATATTATATTTATTATTTTATTTAATTTGTGTATATATAAACTTAGATTTTTAACTTAGATCTCGGACTTCTGTTAACAGCTCTGTTAATAACGCAAATATTTGCGTTCTATGGCTTCGCTTTTTATCTTTTTTTTCTACATAAATGACTATTCAACAACATTATAAGAAGATATTTAGTTTTATGTAATCGCATATCTTAAATTAACTATTCATCATCTATTAGCATCGAATATAAAAGGCGAGAGCAGAGTAGCTTCAATAGTTTGCGTTAATACGTGTGAAAAGGTATTTATTTTTCTTGCTCTTCTTTCCTTTGTACATATTATTTATTTTTTGGCAAAGAGATAAAACAATCAAAAACTAGATTCTGTGTTGTATTTGAGGTTTAAATACTTTTTCCCAATCTGTTTAAATTGTAAATCTTTGATTTGAAATACTTAAAAATGATGTAATGTTTAAACTACACAAAGAATAACATAATATTTTTGTAGTACAGATAAATAAAATTTATCGATTTGCTCAATTCAAGTTGCACACCTTATATAATCATCAAAATTATCATTATAAAAATAGGTAAAAACTTTCGTCGCTGGAATTACCATATTGATAATTATAAAAAAGCATGATTTAGATAGTAATTGTAGTAATAATAATTATAATAATAATTATAGTAATTGTGTATAAAATCTTTAATTTATTTTTCCCATACGCATGTGTTTTGATTATGATAGAATTTGTTGTAGGCAGCACATCATTCGTTGAACATCAAATCCCGAAAATAATTGGAAACTTTGAAATTCTTTTAATTATTCGCATAATAATGTTCTAATAAGCGAATTAAACTTATGCTGAAATTGTTTTATTTTTAGAAACATTACAAAAATATCCAGTAGCAGCTATGTTAGGAAGAAAGTCATTATCAAGTTACACTTTTAGAGACACTAAAATAACCATACCGAAAGGTCAAACTATTATTATACCAGTCTATGCAATTCATCACGATCCAACAATATATCCAAAACCAGAAGTGTATGATCCAGAGAGATTCACAAAGGAAACTATACAATCCAGAGATCCAATGCATTTCATACCTTTTGGATATGGATCAAGATATTGTATTGGTACGTAAAATCAATATTCAGTTTTTTATTTAATGTAAAATACTATATGTGCATAAAACTCAAAACTAATATTTTAACAAAATTATCGTTTATTTAGTAACATTACAAACAATATTTTGGCAGGTGAGCGATTAGGTACTCTTCAAACCAAACTAACACTCATCACTATTTTGCGAAAATATAAAGTAGATGTTTGCCAGAAGACAATAACTTCATATATATTTTACTCTAACCCGATTGTATCAACTTCAGTCAAATCAATAATCCTTAAAATAACAAAAATCTGTTAACTTTGATATGTATATATCACAAAGTATAAAATTTATTGTTAAGTATAAAATTTACACAAAATAATCAATAGATAAATATATGTATATTTTAAATTGGCACATTCAAATAATAAGTATTATGTAATATGTATTACATAATATTATGTGAATATTATATAAATATTATTTAACCACATAAATATTGTATATAATATAAATATTGTATGTAACATTTGAGACATTTACATATTTTCAAATATCTTAGCTTTACGAAATGGTAATATATATCTATGTATTACTTACATTACAAATACTATCGCATAATTACATAATCATTTTCTTTTGAATGTTCCGTGTCATCAGATTCAAATATATTAGGACCTCTTAATTGAGATGACATCGGAACATAATTATTGTCTGTGAAAGTAATTTTCTGTATACTTTCTTCAGCACTTTCTAATCTTGCTTCAAGACTGGACATTTTTGCATAGGAATATTGTCCTACATTGATCCTGTTTTAAAAAACATTCCGATGTTGAATTATTTTTGAAAATTAGTCTTATTTCATGTTTATCACCTTTTTCTCAAGAAACACCCGAAAAAAATGTAAAGTAAAACTAAAATTTACAATCATACCTGTCTGATTTTTCTCCCTGTCGTGGTGGTAATGCTGGAGGTTTAATCTGCAGATTGTATGGAATTTTATCTGCCTCTTTGTTGGAAATAGATGTTTGTTGCTTAGAAGAACATATATTGTCTACAATTTCTTCATAAATTCCAGAAGCAATAGAAGTATTTGATATCTTGGGATTATAAGAATCAACTTTCTCGCTGTATATCAGATTGGGTTCTGATTCATATATACTCTCTATGATTTTAGTGCAGGTTGATGCCCTTAAACTGTATTTTCCGCATATTATTCCAGAACTAATTGTTTATCATTACAAATAATACTGTTATTTGTCTATATATATATATATACATTAGTATATACCAATTAGCCTCTGTGTCAAGAATATGAAGTGATGTATTATTTTCTAGCTGTGAAAGATGATTATTAATTTTATAATGGTGCATCACTGGTTCAAGATCCTCTGTGTCAAAATTCAAAGATTTTTGTTTTGGACCACGACCCTGTGTCACTAAATCTTGTAATAATTTATTAGCCTCGAGACAAAATATATAGAGTTCTCCAATACCACAACGAGACTCTTTAGTGGTATGCATTACACAAATACGTTTCACATCTTCTGGACGGCCTGCTGTCATTAAGTGAAATTGACTAAATTCCCTCCATTCGAAAGATTCAATCGTTTCACCGGTATAAACATCTTTGATAAAAATTCCTGTATCGTTGGCAATCAAATCTCCATACAAACCTTATAAATTAAAGAAAAAATTAAATCAAAATCAATATATGAACTTTATAATTGACAAGAGAATATAATTCCAAATATATATAAAAATTGTATTAACCAGTTAAACCTGATGCCTTGGAATGCGCGTTATCAACCATGGACACGCTATAAAACTTCTCCATGCAACAATGTCTTCTAGGTTTCAACAATTGTCTAATATTTGCCATCCAGTGCTGTGTCTCAGTTTCCGAATTAGCGGACAATGACAGCAAGGGATTTCTGTCTTTCGCTGATGATACAGCAAACGCATATTGCTTCGTTTTAGACCGAATGCGATATACCACCGCATTTGGCGGTATTATGATGCAACTACCTTTTTCACCTTGTTTTGCAGAAGCACTGCCACCACAAATGAGCTTAGTGTCAAACTGTACTTGCACGCCGAGGCCGGGTTCTAATTTTTTTATAGAACACCACAATCGTTTCCAAACCTTCGACAACGTCAAAGTCTTCTTCCTTACTTTCTGCGCGATAAATCTACTTCCCACCAATTTCACACTCAGAAAACCGCAAATTTCCGTATCGAGTGTATCCATTTTCTACAAATATGCCAAAGAATAAGGAAAGATTCTTCACAATGAGAACCCACAAAAAATCTCAAAACTCTTTAGAGAATTTTAGCAGAGATTATTGATGTAAGAAATAATTATTTCGACTATAATGAAGCGTCCCGAGAACAAATCAAATAAACGTAAAGGAAAATAAACACTACTACTACGCCATTATTGTTGATACGACAAACGCGCATAGAATGTGTTCGAAAATCCTTCTCGTGAGATGGAGTAGCATTTAATTGACCAATCAGGACAAAAGAGACAAAGATTTTTTTTCGAACGCACTCTTGCCAATATCGGCAATTAATACTTCATCTATATATTTTATATATCTATGATAAAAAGTGACAGACATATATATGTATAGTACAGTTGTGGCATTGGCATAACCTCATGTATTTTTTTTTCCTTGATATTTTTCATGATTTAAAGTAGTGGAAAGATATTTATCACATTCAAATGCAACAAATTGTTCGAAATATTGTCTGATGGAAATTGTTACGTAGTTCATTCATTTTGTTGCTTTACATAATACATATAAAAATGCGTAAAGTTATATCAAATTTATTTTACACTGAGATTATTCGTACTATTCGCAGTACAAAAATTTTCAAGCAACAAAGGTTATCTATATTTTATTTTATATAAAGACTTTTCTCAATTTAAGATAAAAAAGAAAATTTATAAAAGAGAAAGATAGATAGTAATGTGTGTTTGATTAATCTTATATTTTGTTTTAGAAGGTGGATATATTCATCAAACAAGTGTTTTTCCGTACGAGAGACAACTAATGTAGAATATGATATCCCAGTTGAAAATATCCGTAACTTCAGTATTGTTGCACATGTTGACCATGGTAAAAGCACGCTTGCAGATAGACTGCTGGAATTAACTGGGGCCATAAAGGCAAATTCTGGAAAGCAAGTTTTGGATAATTTACAAGTAGAGAAAGAACGTGGAATTACTGTGAAAGCACAGACAGCTTCACTGTTTTATTCATATCAAGGGAAGAATTATCTTATAAATCTTATTGATACACCAGGTCATGTAGACTTTTCGGCAGAGGTCCATCGTTCACTAGCTCCTTGTCAAGGAGTTATATTGTTGGTTGATGCAAACGATGGTGTCCAAGCACAAACAGTAGCTAATTATTACTTGGCGCGAGATAAAAATCTCGTAATAATACCAGTAATCAATAAAGTGGATCTAAAAAATGCCAATCCTGAAAAAGTGAAAGATCAATTGCAAATTTTATTTGATGTAGAACATATTGATGTTATCAAAATATCTGCTAAATTAGGCACTGGCATTGATAAAGTTTTAGATGCTATAGTTGAAAGAATTCCACCACCTAATGTATGTAGAGATCAATCTTTTAGAGCACTAATATTTGACAGTTGGTACGATAAGCATAAAGGTGCTATTTCTTTAATTTATGTGAAAGATGGAGCACTGTCAGTTGGCAAATACATCACCTCTTTACATATGCAAAAATCGTATGAAATTCGAAGTATTTTCCTTCTTAGACCTTATGCAGAGAATGTGAAGACAATGTAAGTGAGTATAACTTGATTTTTTTTTAAAGTATGAAATATATACATAATACAATATTTTTCATCTATAATTTGTACGCAATTTAAAAATGTATCTAGATTTGCTGGGCAAGTAGGTGCCATTGCATGCAATATGAAGTCTAAAGAGGCTCACATTGGTGACACTTTGCATCTGCGGCATCAATCTGTTGAGTCTTTAGAAGGATTTAAACCCCCAAAGCCGATGGTATTTGCAGGTGTATATCCAATGGATCAGTCACAATTTGTCTCTTTGCAAGCAGCTATCGATAAGCTTACATTAAACGATAGTGCTGTGACTGTCACTTTAGAATCAAGGTACAAATTTTATCAATCTTCCTAATAACATATATTAAAACCATTTTCTTTATATGTTATCAATGATATAAAGTTTATTTTAAATGATTTTGATTTGGTCGATTATATATATAATGTCAACTGGATTGATAAGTTTGTCGTTAATACAAAAAAATTACATGTTGTAGCATTGCACTTGGAAGAGGATGGCGAATTGGTTTTCTAGGCTTATTACATATGGAAGTCTTTATTCAGCGTCTTGAACAGGAATATGGGGCACAGCCAATAGTTACAGCACCCGCAGTTACATATAAGGCAAAGATTTTTGGCAGTAAAAATATAGCAAAATATAAAAAAGACGTTATAAGTTTTAATAATCCAGCGCATTTCCCAGACATACAGATTGTTAGCGAATTTTACGAACCTATGATTATAGCAACTATTATAACACCAGGTATGTATTTTTCATTTAATGCATTAAAATTTATTTTTACTCAAAGCAGAATTTAAGGATTACACAAAAAAGAAAAACTATAAATCCAATTTTACATTTGATGAAAGATTTTAAGATAGCATTTCACATTTTTGTCACATTTTTTAATTTTAATATTTATTATTATTATCTATAGAATAATTAATGCTATGTAATATGTACAGTTAAATATATGAGTGATATTACGTCACTTTGCCGAGAAAAACGAGGCGTAGAAAAATTAAACAAGACTATTGGCAATGACAGACTCATGCTGCAATATGTAATGCCATTGAGCGAAGTAATCCTTGACTTTCATGATTCCTTAAAGAGCATAAGTTCTGGTTATGCTAGTTTTGATTACGAAGATTATGATTATCAATTGTCAGATATAGTAAAGGTAATTATTAAATATTATTGCGGCTTTAGCCTTGCTTGCACTATCATGTGTGACTTTAATTTTCTTAATAAATTGAAAACCTTTATATACTTATAAATATTTAATACGAATGAATTATACCTTTTATACAAATTTCAGTTAGATATTCTCTTGAATGGAAAACAGGTGGAAGAATTAAGTACAATTGTACATAAAGCGAAAGTGTTGCAAACGGGCAAGAAATTATGCGCTAAGCTTCTCGAAACAATTCCTCGACAACTTTTTGAAATAGCAATCCAAGCAGCAATAAAGAGTAAAGTAATTGCAAGAGAAACTTTAAAACCATACAAAAAGGATGTAACAGCAAAATTAGTAAGTAAATATGTATATTAATACATACAAGTAATAAGTAAATTTTTAACTCTTAAAAGTAGTATTATTATTTTTAATGATATCTAATCTATCTAAAGTATCTTTTTCTTTTTTTTCCTAGTACGGAGGTGATGTTACTAGAAGAAAAAAATTGTTGGCACAACAAGCAGAAGGAAAAAAGAAAATGAGAATGATCGGAAAAATTTCTTTACCACGGGACACTTTTATAAGCGTACTGAAAAAGTAGTGAAAGTAGTAAAAAAGAGTGATTTTGTACATAAGATAAATATAAACATCGAAAAAAAAGATTTTGGATTTACTATCTATTATTTATTTGTTATTAATGCTAGAATAATAAAAAGCTCCATTTATTTTCATATAATATATTATTTAATAAAACTCAAAACAAAAAATATATTTTGATGCATACAAGTATCATATGCACACCGATACACATAAATATATCACATTTCGTTTATAGAAATTACATTATCGAGTTGAAAGCACTCTACAAATTTATAGGAGAGAATATATATCTCAAAAATAAGACTGCACATATTTACCGATTGATAACGACATATTCTCATTTTAGTTCTAACCTTTTCGAGAGTAAACTTTTAGATGGCGCTAAAACCACTGAACCAAAAAAATAGTATGGAGGTTTGACGATCGTTTCGTGGTTTCGTGATTTATTCGTCTAAAAGTCTTTTATTTTATAAGTGAACGATTCTTAAATCCTGTAATCAACAGATAATCCGTTTAGAATGGTGAGAGATGTAAAGATCGTTTGATTTCTATTTTTTATAATTTCAGCGATTATATATCACATTGGTCACTTCAAGAAACACTGTTTACATCAAATAACTTATAATTTAGTATTTCTGAATTTTAAATATTCTTAGAATTTTCTAAGTTTTTTGTTTCCATAATATTTTGTATTGAGATATGTTATAGGATGGTATCAAATGTAGTGTCTCTGTGTATAAGCTTGCGTTAAAACCTGTTCGCAGTCTGTTGCTGAGTTTTTGAAGGGTCTCCCATCACATGACGAAAACAACTTTGCAAACTTTCATACTGACAATGGGAATCGGACATGCGTCAAGAGACCTTCAGTTTATCTTCCAACTAAGGATTATCCTTCGGAGCAAAGTATATATAGATTGTAATTACGCAGACTAATATACTGTATATACATATGGTAATTAATTATTTTATACTTGCTCAGTTATTGTTACTGAGAAAACCACCATTCTATTGAGATATCTGCATCAACAGTGGGATAAAAAGGTAAAAAAGATTATATGACAAATATATAATAGATTAATTGATAAGATACCATGAATATTGCTGAAATAAAAATTTACATGCCTAAAACAGAGCATATTACATAATATTAATTAGAGAAGAACCAACTTTAAAGTAATATTTTGTTAAATAGAGATATATTTATAAAGATATTTACAGATATTTAGTTAAAAGTGCCTTATGATTATGTTTAATAATGTAATTATAATATATTATATTATTAAATTATATTGCGTTAAATGATATTATATTAAATTACATTATATTACATTTAAAAAATTATATTATAATTATGTTATAGAATGTATTACTTAATAATTACATATATATTGCTGATCTTTTTTATCAAACAATCTAATTGTAATATTTTTAATTGAATATAAAATTTTTTTTAGAGCATAGACAGAAAAAGAGAATTCTTGTCCACCAATGGCGACGCCCAGGACGATGCATCAACAGTGCGCAGTAAAAGGCCACGTCTCGATCTGAATAACAGTCTTTAAGATATGTTGCACATTTTTCATACATACATATATCTATATATATATTCTTAAATAATCGACATTTATACATGATCTGTATCAATTATCCACAGACAAATATGTTTATAGTATGAAACTATTTCATTGATTAAATTTATGAAACTGAAAGTAAAGAATGTATCATCTTCGATAACGTTTTTTAAGAAATTTATAAATATTTTGTTTTTGATATGGATTTTATTTATAAATGTAGATGTATACAAAATACCATCACAAAATGATATATATATACTGTTTTTATTGATATATTTTTAATTGCGTCCACATCTCAATTACAGTCACATTAGATTTTAATTGTCATGCATTGTTAGGCAGAAATTTTAATTTCATTTTTTAATTATATTTTTTCTTTTACAGAAATTGTTTATTATTGAAAAAAAAGATAAATTTAGGGCAGATAATATATGTGCAGGAAAATAGATTATTATTATTTTGAATTTGCATAAGAAAGCATTTATCTTGTTGTAAAATAAAATAAATTTGTGTGAATCTGTTTTACAAAAAGTATTAAATAAATCTATACAAAATAAAATAAAGTTCCATATTATTAATTACGCAATTATTAAATAGTTATTATTACAATTTGGTGCATTTATTAAAGAAATATTTATGAATTTTAATTCTTAAATATTTATGAGTTTTAAATCTTTGTGAAGAATTAAAATTTAAATATACAATAATATACAATCTCTTTTTTTTTCTATATCGTTTAAATCCGCTACATCTCCCTTTCTATTTATCTGCAATTTATATTCAAAATTCGCAGTAAAAGTTTCGCGTAATTTCCACTTGGCGGAGTCACGTTTACAAAGACGATTCGGTAATACATCTCGTATCTTCGCGCATTTCATGCATGATGTAATGCGAACATAACCAAGGAAAAAAACTTGCGAAAAATATTTACAGTTTACGGAACGAGATGTAACAGCACGCATTATTTCAATGTTTATCGTATCTATTCGGTGGATTGTGCGACCTGAAATGGAAAGTCACGCCGCGCGCCAAGTAATCGCAAAACCATCGTCGCGTTTACAGAAGCCCGTGATTCCGTTACTAAATATAGGATTTATTTTTAGGTTGGAGCTAGCCGTAGTTTGAATCGGGAATCTGCTCCAAAATCAGATTTCTAGGAGGTTTGTAATGTGCATGAGACACTGGTCATATTTTCAGTTCTAGACGACATTGCTGTTCGTATCGCTTAAACGTTACACTTTGTCGACGGATTGTTACATATATTTTATTCAAATATCTGTACAAATAGTCAAGTTTTTAAAACATTAGAACTTCGCGCAATGATACTTTTCAATTTTTTATAGCTATATATATGTATATATATATATTTACATATATAATATCTGTACAAATAGTCAAGTTTTTAAAACATTAGAACTTCGCGCAATGATACTTTTCAATTTTTTATAGCTATATATATGTATATATATATATAAAAGTTAAAAGGACAACCTATGTTAGTTGTATGTAGTTGCAAATATTATTACAACATTAACTTGCTGTTATATTACAATTGTAGGGACAAACATGGCAAATGATGTAATAATCAGGGGCAAAGACAGGCTACAAGAGATTAGTATGAAATTGGAGCAGAGTCATTTGGTATATTTGCAGACGGATGATAGTCCATTGAAACTACAACAACGACACAAATTAGAAGGTAATGTGTATCAGATTATCTTATGTAATGTCAACTTCTATATTGTACATGTATTTTATATATTTTGATATCAATAATATATAAATTTTAGGCTTTATAAAGGAATATCTTTGCCTAGTACCCAATGAGAATAAATATGTGTTTCAAGAAACGGCAGATATTTTGCATAGATCAGCAGCGACAGTGACAGATTTCAGTGGATACAGAGCAGCTACTGCTTGGAGCGCAATTTCCTTATATGCAGCTAATCTTTTGGCACAGCCTTGGCGAAAAGAATATAGGACAGTGAGGGTAATTAGCTGAAAAATATTCTGTCATTAAAAATTATATTATAATTATGTTATAGAATGTATTACTTAATAATTACATATATATTGCTGATCTTTTTTATCAAACAATCTAATTGTAATATTTTTAATTGAATATAAAATTTTTTTTAGAGCATAGACAGAAAAAGAGAATTCTTGTCCACCAATGGCGACGCCCAGGACGATGCATCAACAGTGCGCAGTAAAAGGCCACGTCTCGATCTGAATAACAGTCTTTAAGATATGTTGCACATTTTTCATACATACATATATCTATATATATATTCTTAAATAATCGACATTTATACATGATCTGTATCAATTATCCACAGACAAATATGTTTATAGTATGAAACTATTTCATTGATTAAATTTATGAAACTGAAAGTAAAGAATGTATCATCTTCGATAACGTTTTTTAAGAAATTTATAAATATTTTGTTTTTGATATGGATTTTATTTATAAATGTAGATGTATACAAAATACCATCACAAAATGATATATATATACTGTTTTTATTGATATATTTTTAATTGCGTCCACATCTCAATTACAGTCACATTAGATTTTAATTGTCATGCATTGTTAGGCAGAAATTTTAATTTCATTTTTTAATTATATTTTTTCTTTTACAGAAATTGTTTATTATTGAAAAAAAAGATAAATTTAGGGCAGATAATATATGTGCAGGAAAATAGATTATTATTATTTTGAATTTGCATAAGAAAGCATTTATCTTGTTGTAAAATAAAATAAATTTGTGTGAATCTGTTTTACAAAAAGTATTAAATAAATCTATACAAAATAAAATAAAGTTCCATATTATTAATTACGCAATTATTAAATAGTTATTATTACAATTTGGTGCATTTATTAAAGAAATATTTATGAATTTTAATTCTTAAATATTTATGAGTTTTAAATCTTTGTGAAGAATTAAAATTTAAATATACAATAATATACAATCTCTTTTTTTTTCTATATCGTTTAAATCCGCTACATCTCCCTTTCTATTTATCTGCAATTTATATTCAAAATTCGCAGTAAAAGTTTCGCGTAATTTCCACTTGGCGGAGTCACGTTTACAAAGACGATTCGGTAATACATCTCGTATCTTCGCGCATTTCATGCATGATGTAATGCGAACATAACCAAGGAAAAAAACTTGCGAAAAATATTTACAGTTTACGGAACGAGATGTAACAGCACGCATTATTTCAATGTTTATCGTATCTATTCGGTGGATTGTGCGACCTGAAATGGAAAGTCACGCCGCGCGCCAAGTAATCGCAAAACCATCGTCGCGTTTACAGAAGCCCGTGATTCCGTTACTAAATATAGGATTTATTTTTAGGTTGGAGCTAGCCGTAGTTTGAATCGGGAATCTGCTCCAAAATCAGATTTCTAGGAGGTTTGTAATGTGCATGAGACACTGGTCATATTTTCAGTTCTAGACGACATTGCTGTTCGTATCGCTTAAACGTTACACTTTGTCGACGGATTGTTACATATATTTTATTCAAATATCTGTACAAATAGTCAAGTTTTTAAAACATTAGAACTTCGCGCAATGATACTTTTCAATTTTTTATAGCTATATATATGTATATATATATAAAAGTTAAAAGGACAACCTATGTTAGTTGTATGTAGTTGCAAATATTATTACAACATTAACTTGCTGTTATATTACAATTGTAGGGACAAACATGGCAAATGATGTAATAATCAGGGGCAAAGACAGGCTACAAGAGATTAGTATGAAATTGGAGCAGAGTCATTTGGTATATTTGCAGACGGATGATAGTCCATTGAAACTACAACAACGACACAAATTAGAAGGTAATGTGTATCAGATTATCTTATGTAATGTCAACTTCTATATTGTACATGTATTTTATATATTTTGATATCAATAATATATAAATTTTAGGCTTTATAAAGGAATATCTTTGCCTAGTACCCAATGAGAATAAATATGTGTTTCAAGAAACGGCAGATATTTTGCATAGATCAGCAGCGACAGTGACAGATTTCAGTGGATACAGAGCAGCTACTGCTTGGAGCGCAATTTCCTTATATGCAGCTAATCTTTTGGCACAGCCTTGGCGAAAAGAATATAGGACAGTGAGGGTAATTAGCTGAAAAATATTCTGTCATTATTCTATGTGATTTAACATACTAAAATCTTATGTATGCATATTTGATTTAATTTTAGACATATAGCGGTTATTACAAGCACGAAGTGGAGGCGAATCTAATAGGTGCAGAGTTAATGTTTGAGCAAATGGGATACAAGCATACTGGTCTGGGTGTATTGACTTTAGATGGACCGATTGATCCAGATAAAGTTTCAAATGTTAGCAGGGATGCTATTGTAGCCTTTGTGGAATGTCAGGTAATGAATGATGATAAATAACAAATAATCAATCAACAGATAATGCAATCATTTAATGCATGAATTAACTGCAAATACAAATTAATTTTACTTTTAAATTTTAGATCTTGAAACAAATATGGGAAAGCGTGTCACAGAACTACACCATCTCTTGGCTGGAAGTGTTGGAATTTCGCGAAAATCATGTCGGTACGCCTGAGCAAGCCATCCGAGCGCTAAATTATCGTTTCCTCGAGAAGGTGCATCAGAATCGGTGCGCGAAAATCGATAGTTACAAAGATATTTACTATCCTCAGCAAACGAGTGTGGAAACTGTACCGTTGCCTCTTCCCTATCATCATCCTGTCATGCACGCCAATTACAACACAACGATGCCGTCAGTTTGTCAAACGGCAGACTATCGGTGTATCGAGGATGCGACAAATGTGGCAGTACCGGCCAATTATCGATATTACCAACCTATCGATCACGGTTTTGTCAATTGTTGCAATAGCTATAGCTGCCTACCATCTCACGGGAATAAATTCTACGGTAACGCTGCGCAATCGAATCCGTATTGCGCCACGTTACCGGCATACGCGGCCCGAGTACCGACCGGCAGATTGATTGAACTCGACGTGCCGACATCCGTTGCGAATTACGCGGACAAGTCACACGCTCTCCGCAAACCTACGTCCCATCGGATATCAGACTTGGACGAAATGGACTTCTACAGACGGCAGACTTCGAGCGACGGAGATCATCATGAATACGGTAAAAATGACAAAAGGCAGATCGCCAGCAAGTTGAATTCCAGCGTTGGTAAGGACGGTTACGATACGTGGGACTTTGTGTACAGAAATCTCGAGAGTTTAGGCTATTATAAGGATCTTGACGATCGGGACGATGTATTGCAATATAAGAAGGAGCTGGATCCCATCCGCATGTCCAAACACAAGACGTTTAGACAAACGGAGAACGAAGACAAATATAGCGCGCATAGATTCGAAAAAAGAAGAACTAACAGTAGGACCGAAGCGAATGAGATTGACTCGTCCGAGATAAATGGGAGTCATCAGGACATTCTGCCCTTCAAGAAGAAATCCTCATCCTTCGACTTGTCAGACTCGAATAGATACAGTACTGAAACATATAACAGAGACAAAAGACATAACAGTCAAACTCTACCGATTCCGCGTACGCACAAATCTTCGGATCAGATAGCGAAAATTGCGGATTCGCTGAAGAATCTTGATGTCGCGCGGTTAAGCAAAGGAGAGAATGAAGAGGAAAAGGCAGAGAATAAAAAGAGATGGAATTGCGCAACGTGCACGTATCTGAATATGCCCGATCGAGATATTTGTGAAATGTGCGCCAAATCGAGATGCAAAGGGAATGAAGATAAACCGCTCGCCAGTGGTGGTAAGGAATGTCCGCAATGCACGCTAGTGAATGAAAAGAATGTTTCTATCTGTGATGCTTGCCATACCAGTCTGAAGGATTCTCCGACATACATATAAACAGACTGAGAGAGAGAGAAATGACTCTTCGTGAAAGAGGAAAGGAGTTCTCGCACATTTCTCCCAAAGGTTTGCACAAAGGTATTGCGTGTAAGATATAGAATCTTTGAACAAATAAGTTGTACGTGAATCTTTTTCAACGACCTAAAATGAGAAACATGAATACAGAAAACTTAGAGGCATACAATATATATTAATAACGTATATAAAGAAGAGAAAGCTCTATTTCTTTAAAATTTATCTCACGCAGGATAAGGGAGCTTGTAATAAACTTTCTTAGCATTATTAATATTATTATGTTGTGTTATGTGGCCTATTAAATGAGTATTGAGTAGGCATTGAAATCGCGTGCATCACTATCATTAGTACTATTATAGCATTCGACGAGACTTATCATTAAACAATAAAATTTAATCAGATATTAGGCCAAAGCTCATAAAACTATATCACTGAGATTAATTAAGAAATGCGCAAAACGCTGGAATGTTACTTATTAAAAAAATATGTTTGCTTCTTATATGCATATATAAGAATTATATAATTCTAATAATATAATATTTTGTGCAATTTATTTCTTAAATTAAATCGTCACATTCGAGATTTAAGATAAATTTTATTCTTTATGAATAGATCAATTCAATATAATTAATTTTTAAAAAAGAGCTTTGAAATGAATTGAAAAATTAGGTATACTGTTACTATAATAAATAAATTTTATATAGCTACTATGCAACCAACAAAATTATTTGAAGTTCATCATGCTTAAGAGAAAGAGAGAGAATTTTTTTACGGTATGCAAATGGTAGTCTATACAATGTTATAAACTAAAGGATTGTTTTTTGACAATATCGCTAAAAGCAAATTTGACAAAATACAAAAAAAAAAGAAGATAGAAGAAAAAAAAAAGATGTTAGATTCCGCGCTCTTTATCCTCTCCCTTCTTCCCAGAATGTACTATGTATAAAATTATTGCACTATTAGTTGCGGATTGTTGTTATAATAATAATACAAATGTTGCGCTATATTATCACAAGAAAAGATTATAAATGTAACGAGGATATAAAATATGATAGAAAAAAATGTGTGAATCCTATACTATAATTTGATGAAACTTTATAGTATCTATATCTGTATTAAAACTAAATGGAAGTAGCTATCTATTTATTTAAAAACAGTTATCACACAAATATTTATTTATACATTCCTTATTCATTGAATCGTTAAAAAATGCGATCTACTTATTCTAAATATCTTTTGGTAACATATTATTGCAGCATATGTTTTACCCTTTATTTAAGCTTGTTTTAGAGATATGTACTATTGTTGAAGATATATAATTTTATATGTAAGATATGTATGTGCAAAATGCTGTGTTTTCACAGTTTATCAATGTTGCATAAAACGATATTATGTACGTATATACATAGTCAATTAGCTTAATGTAAAATGTTTTGAGAGATAATGGAATTTCGCTCAACAGAGAATCTATAACAATGCTTGTGCTACTGTACTTTAATTTATATAAAATTTTTATTGTGTGACTGTACTGATTTAGCCTAATTCACATAATCTAATATGTCAACATAATAAGAAAAATGATTTATACTATTTAAAGTTATATTGTGCTTGATTATATAGGCAACACATTGAAATATTAATAAAATAACATAATTGGCACTTTTTAAAAATGAAGATTTAGTATAATATAATGATCTTCGTGCTTTTCTTAGATAATGTGTTTGTATTTCAAACACATATATACTCGATTTCGATACAAATAATTTTTAATACCGTTTATAAGTCTGATAACCATAATAGAATTGATAATATTTTTTCATGGGCAAAATATATGAGAGAATGATAAACAAAGTAGGTAGATAGATAATGTAAAACATGCATAAACAGTTACATTGTAACGTTTTGTAGAGTTTATGTAAATTGTATAATGATCTGTTGTATACAAATAACGAATTTAATATAGAGTATGCATATTATATTTAGATAAAATTTTTATTAGATGCTGATATATCAGAAAAATCACACTTTTGTACAAAACGCAGATGATTATTTTTAATATAGAATGCATGTAACATTTTTAAATTATTAATATGAATAAACATATACCTCTGGAAAACATTTTTGTTCTATTTAATTTAACAGAAGAGAAGTGATACAAGAGAAGTAAGAGAATATCAGTTATTGTTTGGCCATTCGCATGGCTTTTTCTAAACATTTAGAAGCAGCTTGATGAATTTTTTTATCCATTTTATCTATAATTTGAAAGGAGAATTAAACTTAATTGAAAATATATTAATCATAATTAATGGAAATACATTGCTACTGAAAATATATTAAGTAATGGAAATATATATTTCTTGTGACTACTTACAAATTTTATGTTTTCCTTTCATAGGAAAATGTACTGGTAACATGTAAGAATTCTCACATATAAAAACATATGGACTATCACTTTCTCCTTCTGGATATAGTTTTCTATATTCTGCCTGAGGTAGAACATCAGTCACCGTTACACAGCCTAACAAGCAACCCGTGGGGTAAGTCTCAGGGAATTTAAATGTTTCTAAAATTGTCAAGATAAATATTAAAAATATAGTTAAGATAAAAATATAATTGAAAATAAGATATACATAAATATTTCAAGATGAATACTTTTTACTAACTACTTTTTAATATGTTGTAGGTATGCTGTATATTGGATATTTCTTCAGTGGAAGGTACTTTAGCAGCCGATGCTATCCACAGTCTTCCTCTGTGCGAAGAATACCAATTTCTACCCTCATGACTGATAACAATAAATTTATATCAGATATTCTGACCGTGCAAATTAGTTTTTTGAATGTATCATGAACTCACATTTTTATTCCTGCCACTAGCAATGAAGCATAAGGCTGATGCATGCTCAAACACAAGCCTTGATCAGACATTTCCAAATATTCTTTATCTTGAATTCTACTTTCTGTGTTCCATGTGTCATTTCCCATTCTTCTACTTGTTCCAGATATTCCCATATCAATAAACTTGATGTAATAATGATATATAATAAAAAAATGTACACCAGGTTCAGGATTGTTCAAGATTAGTCAAAAGTGAGCTTCTGATGTAATTTACTATTATTAATTATAAAGAATTCGCGATCTTACCGTTGGACGGTCAAATTCTATTGTTGGACAGATATTCGGATTTTCAAAGTTGTCATACGACATTGTTTCACCAAGCTCTTCTGATTGTAAATTATTGAATTGACCATCATCAATTATTCTTCCCATAAAATCTATAGCAACTCTTTTATCTAAACGCGATGCGTGCTTGCGAGCAAGTGCTTCCGATTCTTGCTTCTGTAACTTTTTGCGGTCTTCAGCACAAAGCCAAACACTATTTGACTGATAATAATCTGACTCGTCATCAATCACTTCAGTGCGGCGGGCGCTATGTTTTATGATTATTAATTATATAATTAATTTATGATCATTAGTAATTAAAGCATAAATAATTTTGGAAGATTCAAAACATGTGCATACCTGTTGCGATCATATTCAAGAAGTTTGTCCCTCTGTTTGAGGGAGTCTTCAAAGCCTTTATTTGGCTTTCGTTCCATCAATTTATTGTACAAATTATCAGCTTGTTTAGTCTTACTCTGAAGAACCACTTGTTGATTCGGTGAACAAACGAGATCTCCACAAAAAAAGCATGGTCCTGCACCTTCTTGTGTACAAACTATTCTTCCACAATTGAGACAATTATTAATTAATTTATGTCCCTTTGCTTCGCAGTTACATTTGTGTCTCCCTAAACATTGTCACAAAAATATATCATTTATCAAAATTATTGCTTCATGTACATATGCATTACTTATACAGATTTTATTATCATATGAATACCTTTCAGGAGAACATCTCCATGAGATAATAAATTAACAAATTTAGTCTTCTTTTTTTCCATTTTTTCAGGCTTTGTTTCACATTTTGCAGCCTCTTGCATCTATACAAGAAAACAGCAAAAAGTTTTTATAATTATCTTTCAGTTACTCGTTAAATAATTTTGGAAAAGTATAAAATATACCTGAACATTTTCTTTTCCTTTTGCTTTTCCCTTTTTCTTTTCACTCTGTTTATTAGGTATATTGTCATTATTACTTGTTTTCTTGTAACCTGTTTGATTAGTATAAGATGCTGGAACAATAATAATTTAATAACCATGTGATAATCTGTCAAAAATAGTCTTTTAAAATTCATCTACATTTGCTCACCACGTTGTTTCTTCAAATCTGTTATAAATTGTTTGTGTTTCGGATTTTCATTGTCCAATAAAGTTGCTAAGTAATTTTCTAAATCTCTCTCATTTTCCATTTGCATAACATATCTGAAATTGACAAAATATATGTGCCATAACAATATGCAAATAAGCTGTGGAGAGAAAGATTTTTATTATCCTCTCTGCACTTACTGGGTTAAATCATCTGGAATTTGAAAATCTAGAAATTCGGTCAATTTCTCTTTTATCAACTTCTCCATGATAGCGACAATGTGACAAATGAATAATAATAAAATTCACGAATTTCTATATATTATTACTTGTTATATTAGACCAGACCTTAGACTTTAGACCTTCGGCTAACTTCGATACTACAGATAATCGATATGTTCGATACATATGTTCGATAGATATATCGATCATGTTTGACTACATCAGTTTAAATTTTTTATCTGTTTTTTGAGTTCTAATTGTTAACTAATATAATAATATATGTAATATGGCGATTTATCAGCTTTCTTTAATAATTGCTTAACATGATTAAAGTACATATTTTTATTAAACGTATGTAAAAACAAACGCATGTAAAAAACTATTTGTTTCGAGAGAAATATTATCCTATATAAAATATATTTAATATTTCAAGATAAAATAAAAGAAAAAGTTGCGCATGTCGGTAATAATCAAAATTTGTTTTACGTTAAAATACAAGTTTTAATCAAAGATGATAACAATAATAATAAAATAGAAAAATAAAAAGAGAATATTATTATCGATAATACGATAATGATAAAAATAACAGTTTTACTTTGCGAAATCCATTATAAGCCGTCACGATCGATCAATTGCGTGCATTATGATATTATATCTGATCGTTACAAAAATGTATATTATGGCGTATGATAGACATATATTACGCGTATGCACGCATTAACGTTCCCACACATATAAATGCAAACATTTATCAAGATAAGGCTAATTGTCATATAATAAGCAAAGAAAAAAAATGTACAAACTTTTTTTATTGTCTCCTTTATTTTTTTTTTCATTCGCCATGCAGACTATCGAAAAATCTTCTAAAGAAAAAAATCATCAACGATTGTGAGAAATTTCGCAGAGCGGTTTATTCATATAATCATTATAATATCTGTGAAAGATCTACACGCGATAAAAATAAATCGTTATTATTACTTTGTCGGTTCCGTTTGTAAAGAGACTTTTACTTCTTTTCTTTAGAGACAGACAGTTTTTTTAATAAGAAAACATGCTAGAAAATTGTCGATGGTTTCTGTACGCGTCGCGTTTTTATGGGTGTCACCCGCACACGATTGACGATGAACGATCTCGCGTGCCCGCAAATTTTCGCCTACCGTTATTGGCATATTCGCTAATTATGTGCGGTTTGTATTGTGTCGCGGGATATTATGCGAAAGGCTTTAGAGATTACTGTGACACTGATATCGTAACGATAGGTTGTGTTCTGCAGCAGGGCAATCGGTATAACCGGTGCTTTTACATGATCCTGACGCCGTTGCTGTCTTGCTTGCGATATGCAGAATTTGAACGGGCCGTAGCTGTCGCTCGTAAATTCGATGATTTAATGCGACATCATAATAGTCGGTGCAACGATAATAAACGAATGAATTGCTACATGCAATGGTTGATTATATTAACGATTTTCGTCGTTTGGATCGTCATCAGCATACTAATAATGTTTGCTGTACCTCATATGATTTTTTATTTGCTTGCGTTACAAATTATAATGCGAATTACATTCTCGATAGAGATTGCAAAATTTTATTTCTTGTACGACGCATTGTATCGTAGGTTTCGTCGTCTCAATGGACTATGTCGCAAACTGACTGGTATTATATATCATCAATCGATCAACAGACTTGATTACGATTAAATTAAATCAATCTTAAAATGATGATTATAATGATCAAATATTAATTTTTTAATTATTCACATAAAATTCATGCATGTTTAAAAACTTATCTAAATAAAATGGATTCTTTAACTTTTTGAGGGACCCTTTCTGTCTATTAAAGGCATTTTTATTAAAATTTGTATTTATACATTTTTCGGATCGCTAATTACGAATTTGAAATTTAACTGCCCCGCAAAAAGTTAAACAATTTCGTTTGTAGTATTATTTTTGTAATTAATTTTGACAATGTGTAAAATTTTTTTATATAGGAATGGGTGTCGGCATCGATACCGGTATATCTGTGATACATATTAATCGTCTTACAATCTCGAATCTTCAGCAGTTGCACAGCTGTTTGATCGATGCAACAAATCATTTGAATTCTTATTATAGTCTGCAGTTATTTTGTTGGATCGCATGCATGTTACTGGACATTCTTTCATATATCTTTGGCGTTTTACATAAAAGAGACAACGTGCTCCTGACTTGCGTCCAATGCATTTTGCTACTAATTTTTTCATTTCAAGTTATCACTATAAGTCGCATCTGTCATTTAACATGCGATCAGGTATGTATGTTATGTTCGTCTCTGACGAGCGAAATTATCACATAAAATATTTCAGGCAAACGCATTGGCCGGAACGATGTTTTTAGCGAAAACTCCCGCACTCAAACACACCGACTTTTCGACTGTGAGTAATAAAATAAATATTATACAGAGTAAGCTCTCTATTTCAATATGCATCACTTTCCTAAATTCGTCTTTACCGTTTAGTATAAAGATAAATTTTTAATCATTTGTACTCATTTAATAATTAAAAGAATATAATTGCCTTTTTTTATTTTTTAATAAAAGAAATGTTATGAACATATATTTTTGCGACGTTTTTTTGTTTTTAGGAAGCGATTGAGTTGGGAGTACGTCTTCGAATCTTTCCGTTGCGCGTTAGAGTCTGTGGCTTATTTAATTTGGACAACAGTCTTGCATTTTCGGTAATTGATGTTTTTTCTATAATCTATTAATTACTTGAACTTATATAAATATATTAGAACTATTATAAATATATATCGGCGCTTCTTGTCAGTTTTTACAAAAAACTGAGAATTAAATTTCGACTATATTTGAAGCTTCAACCAGATGTAACAAAAAAACAAAAACAAAACAAAAAGATTTTTAATTTTCCAAAAATTTTTTAATTTTAGAAAAATCAAAAAATTGAGTCTATTGGGTGTAGGAAACTGACTCGATAAGAATAATTGCTTTATTTTCTTTTATTGCATTGAATATATTGTTAATATCAAATTACTTTTATCTGTTTATTATTGTTACATCTGTTTACAGTTAAATATTATTTTTAATAATACAATAATACCTAAAACATTCGATTTGAATATTCAAGTAAAATTGAAGAGATTATCAAACGGAGAAATTATTCAAGCAAATTAAACCTGTTTACTCGCGGTTTATAATCAAAGCTAATTAATTCAAAGAAAATTAATTACGATTTCTTACTTTCTCAAAATAATTTGAATACTGATTTTCGAATAATGTGATTATTCAATGTTTTTGTAAATCTATTTATTAATATTGTATATTATATTAGGTATTTGGTATTATACTGATGTATGTGGTCCTAACTTCGTCCATTCATTGAGCTTAGATGATAATCTTAAACGCAAACAAATATGAGAAGGATGTATGTATTTTGAAAATGAAGCATTTCAACCTCGATTTAATCAAGTCAAACTTCGAACTTTTAATTCCCAATTTTTAACATCTACAGAAACTTGACAACAGCAATAAAGAAAGAAAAACAGAATAAATAAAGTTTTCCAGGATCCTGTAAACAGAAAATTACATTTCAATTTTTTTGTTAATATTAAATTATTTGTGAAATTATTAAATTGTTAATAAGATAAAATATTTATATTTAAGCAATAAATATTGTCTCAGTATTTGTAGAAAATGTAATAATAAACTTATTTTCTTTATATATTGAACAAGATAAAATGTATGGAATATAAAAACTAAAACATGAAAAGCTTACCATATAGTATTATGTTATATGTAAAAATATTACCAATTAATGGGCCCCCAAAAAAATAAAAATTAGATATTGCTGACATTGCTAAAAGAGGGCTTGCTAATATACAATGAAATCTCTTAATATTTTTTGGAGATAAATACATATTCTGCATTTTATGATATTGTTTGCTTTTGCCAATTGATACTCCTATACTTTCGATTGCTATTCCTATAAAATTGAACAGTGACCAAATAAAAATATTCACTTGTATTCCATGCCATATAAGAACAAAAGCAAAACATAAAAATGATGCAAACAATTTTCCAAAGCACCCATTTGACTTTTGTACAGGGATATAAATATATCTGGAAAAAATAAAGAGACTAATTTATTATAATAATAAAAAACTCCTATAAAATATATACATAGATGTTAATTATATACTTACTTTATAAGAAATTTATATAATCCTCTATCAAAATGTTTCCACATGTCGGAATATAAATGAATCCTAGCTATACATTTAGGTGGTGGTGGTGCTTTTACATTATCTAAATTACATAAAGTCTTGGAAATCCCATAGATTACAACATATTTGTTCAGAAAGAATTGTCCCATGCAATATCCTAAACCATACAGTGCCCAAGGATTTAAATTTTGCACAATCTGTAAAAAAAAACCACAATATATGCACTTATGCAAATATAATATTCTTACGATATTCTTATGCATAAATAAATTATTACCTGAGGATGATATTGAATAGCATTTACATAAATAAAGTGTAGCAACAATTCAGTAAAATATAACCAGAACATGTATCTAATTAAATTTAACACAAAAGTTTGTAGTTTTTGGTAATTCCAATATTGATGTGGTTGATTAATCTAAAAGATTCATTATTTTTGTCAACACTATATATTTTCTATAATATTAATTATTTTATAAAATTGTGAAAACTATACATACAGACTCAACAAACTCATGATACAAAATAAGTGGCCCTGAAAATAATGTGGGCAAGTATAAACAATATGCTAATTTCTGAATAAAATTATTTGAATTGAGAAGTTTGTCATCAATACTATCCATATTGTGACTGATACTTCTTAAATGTATCCAACACATTGTAAGTGTCAAAATATAATGCTGTTCATCATCGAATCCTAGCCAGCTTTGAAAAATACCATTCGGTATTTTTAATATATGTATTACAAATAGGAATGAAACATGTATTAACCATGCTACATTCTTACTATATTTATATGTTATTATATGTAAAAGACTAGGTTGCAGTAGAGCACATAATGCACCCAATAAACCAATATAATAATACAGAAAAGCTGTAGATGACAAGATATACCAACAACACAATATCTGAAAGATTTCCATGTTACTTCTTTGAATTGCACATTTTTTCTATAAAATATATTTTGTAAATATATATAAATGTGTTACCATATTGTTACTATTAACTTTAATAATCTGACTGAAAAAATGATGTATAAAAATGTATGATATTAGTTTGTTTACTAATGCAAGCCATGCACGCCACTCTTGATCAGAAATATCTCGTTTTTTTCCAATCCAAGTCCATCCTCTATCAAAATCATTGTATGCATCATAATAATTATCAAAATCTGAAAGTATAAATCGCATATGAGAGAGTGAAAGCATCAGCATTATAACATTTTACTTCTTGATTTCCTATAGCCTTACAATTATTCGATAAATAAAACTCATATACAGAATAAGAAATAGCACATGACCACGCAAGAAAATAAAAATAGCTTTCATAATTGTTACTAAATTTCATAATGGCTGTTAAATTCATTATATAAAGAAAACCGGATTTGTTTTGCATGCATTTTCTATACTTTTGCCTTGCATCTGTGCCTCTACGTGCATCGGCACGGTAGAAGGACGAAGAACGCGAGCAATGCAATTTGAATTCGAGAATTTGTTTCTTAGCGTTGGTAACCCTGAAACCCTGAAATGTCGTAGGTTACGTTCCAAAATTTACTCCATAGAGTAGAATGGCGTTTGATTGACCAATCAAGGAATAAAGAAATTTTTGTTTCTTTATTCTGATTGGTCAATCGAACGCTATTCTACTTCGTGGAGTAAATTTTAGAATACAATCTTGGATGCAGAAAAAACAAAATGGGTAGCATCTAGTTCCTAGACTATAGGATTGGTCAGCCATATTTTCGCGAAAAGTGTCTATGAAATTTTTCATTCACTCTATTCTATAGACTTGTGATTTAGTTGCAACTTTGGACTTATTAAAATCTTTTTTTTTTCAAATATTTTATATTTTACTGAAAAATAATTAAAACTATGTTCTCTTTCATCATTAATTATATATATGTTCTGTAATAATCTAAGAATTTTTGTAAAGTATACTTTATATATTTAAAACTTTTGTTTCACTATCGCATTCATATCGAATTGCCATGTTAAATTATGTGTGATTTATTTTCACAATATATATTAAAATATAATACAATCAATAACATAAAGAAACGCGCGCGTAATTATTGTAATTATAATTAAAACTATATAATTATATTATAATACAACTGCAATGCTAAATCAGACATTTCGAATAAAATATTATAAGAATTTTTCATTATCGTTATTAACTCGTTGCTAATACATGAGAAGCAAAAGAGAGAGAGAGAAAGAGAGTCAATTACCAAATTATGCCCAAAGTTGCAACTAAATTCCAATTCTATTCTAGAATCTTTTAATCTAAGATATGTTTCATTACTGTTTACTGAGTCCAAAAGCCATATAAAAATGGGAAATGTTTTTTACAATCACCATTGTAATCAATATTGTGCACATAAAAAAATTTCACTTCAACAAAACATAGCATGTTGCAAATAAATCAATCTCGTATCAGAACTGCATTTGTATCATGATTTATACGTGCACAAAGTATCACAATCCATCACGCACAATAGTTCAGTTTAGCAATCAAAATTGCACTTCAGTATTACATATATTAACAAATCTATGAAATAAATTAATAATTAATGATGTATTCATAAAATCTTATCAAATTTCACAAAGTCACTTTTTACCACAATGAAGTTTCATACACATAGCCATTTATCATAGTTTGTTTATTATATTTGCACAAATGTTAAATGTGCATATTAAACTTTGTAAAATCATCATTTATGACTTTATATAATTTTTCTAATTATTTTTTATATCCTTTAAATTAGTTGTGGCTGTTTTAATATGTAAATCACTTCAAACTACAGTGATTTACATATTGATCACTTCAAACAAGAATTTACGTTTGCTCTAATACGTTTCGTTAAGTACGAAACATCTTATAATTATCAGCTGGGTGGTATAGCTTTGGCAGTTTGTCCAAATCCTAAGTTAGGCCTGGTACCGAACCATGACATTTTCCATTCTAAAGTTTCCTGAAGTAGACGTTCTTCCTCTGGCGAAAAGTGTAATAATGTCGCCACTGCCCTCGTTAAATGCAGAGCCTTATAAAAATAATGTTATAATGTTTATTTATTACACCCAAAAGGGAATATAAATTAGATCGAAATAAATGTGCACCTCATATTCTCTGCTAGTGAGGAATTTGATGAGAACGTGTTTTAGATATTTAAAATTAACGTCATCTTCCCTCGAATTATTATGCTTGGCAGTGACGGTTTTGGATGAACTTGGATTAAGAATAGCTGCAGAAGCTTCAGCGTCACTATCCAACGACGAGGACGGAATTTTCAACTCGCGTTGAAGCGTTTTCTTCATATCAGTTAACCGTTGCTGCAAAACTTTGATTGTCTAAGAAAAAGGAAAAAATACTTTAAAATTAAATCATATAATTTATATAGATAATTAACAAATACTTTAGGTGCGTATATATGTGCATGTATGTGTGTATGTATAAGTAGATGTAATAAATATAGCAATCACGCAGAATTGCAAGTTGTTTTTAAAATAACATTATTTAATAATTGTATTGCATTCTGCCAAGGTTAAATTGGAGTTACCTACCTTATTTTTCTCACTTAATTGTTCTTCCAGATCTAACAAATTGTTTTTAAGTATTCTCTCATTTCTTTCCATTTTTTCTCTGTTATGTTCTGCTTCTTCTAGTTTTGCAACTTTCTGCTCAAATTGTTTTAATGTGATCGCCGCTTGCTCTGCTTCTTTCACTTTACCAACTAGATGATCTTCCAGATTTTCTACTCTACTCTGCAGCTCCATGTTCTCGATCTCCTGCTGCCGATTCTCCTGCTTCACAATTTCTATGTCTTGAGATACCTGGGCATTCCTCAGCAAAGCAGCATCTTTCTCATCTTTCTCTTTCTTGAAGGAAATTCGCAGTTCCGCTGTAGTTGATCGTTCAGATTCGAGAATTTCTTGTAGATATGCCAGTTCTAGACGTAAAGAAGAATTATTCGATTGTTCCCTTTCCAAGGACGATCGAAGATTTGCTAACTCGTTAGTAACATCACTGAGTTTGCTCGTCGTATTCTCGAGATCCAATTTCAGCTGAGTAATCTGTTTTGAGGAAGATTCCTAAAAAAAGACAAATACACATTCATATGAATTGACATATAAATATATAATTTTATCACAATTCGCATTCATACCTAATTGCCGACATGTTGATGTTACTCTTTTTTAAAATGTATATTTCTATATGTATAAGATATGTTTATCTTTACTTGTAATATTCTTTAATAATAAAGTGAATGTCTCATGGTATAAAAAAACATTTAAAAATTATATATATCTAAATTTTACTTCAAAAAATTAAAATTTATGCAGGATCTTCTTTGATTAAACAGTCTAAAATAGTGTTTTAAATCTTTAAAAAATCCTTGTATTAATGATTATTTAATGATTGTTTTCTTAAGCAGTTTCATATAATTATAAGCAAAAAATTAACTAAGGATAAAAACTGTGAAATAAATAAAATTATATATTCTTAAAATAAGAATTAAAAATCATACAAAACAAAATAAATAACAGTAATTACAAATAAAATAAAAAATATTTTCTTTGCATTATTGTAATTTTGCGTTTTACAATAAACTCATTTGTAAAATATCATATTGTTCACAAGCACAATTATCATTTTTGGAATATGATATTGTTAACAGCACAATTGAGTAAATATGCAGAATATCTTATAACTACTGCAATATATATGTATATATCTTATTCATAGATCTTTTTCAAAATAATTCTCTTTCTGCTAACTTGAGCTTGAACTTAAATAAAATGTCATAATGTCAATATTTCCAGCATAAAAGTATAAATCTATATAAATGATACATAACGGCAGAAAGTCAGTTCACAGAAAATCAAACTAAATTTTGTCTTAAAAATTTATCTTAAAATTTTATCTCAATAACATACATAAAAATAATTCTGAAATAAAATTTTTCTAGATTCCATAGCGCGACTGTGATGAGGTATTGATAAATCATTCAGGAATAAAAACTGGTTAAAAAAAATTAAAAATAGGTAAAAAGCAAAAGATTGCATATACTTATTTTTCCTTCTTTATTTCACAAATAAAATATACAGAAAGTGCAATTATACATAAAAATGTGTGTGTGTGTGTGTATTATTTTACCATACTAAAATCTAAAATTCACATGTCAAAGGCAATGTACATACAAAGAAGAATATACGATTTTGTGTGTGTGTGTGTGTGTGTGTGTGTGTGTATTATTTTACCATACTAAAATCTAAAATTCACATGTCAAAGGCAATGTACATACAAAGAAGAATATACGATTTTCAATACAAGTGAATCTGTTGCATAATCGGTTTATGTATTTCTTTGATATAGATTTTCTCAAGACGCTCGAGAAACTAACTTAACATGCTTTGAATATATAATAATAACTAATAAAGAAGTTCTGATAAAGGCACGTGCACGTACTGAGATTAAAAAATAAAACGTGCATCAAGCAAGAAGCATCAAGCTTCTGAACAACATGCAACAATATTACTGATTTACATGCGCGCGCGCGTATATACAGAGTAATCTGAATTTCACGAATCAAAATACAATAGTAGGAAAATTCTTGAAAAATTTAGTAATAATAATATCTTTTTTGCAATTGTTTATTTTAAACAGTTTTTGAGTCGCATGTGCGTTAGTATATTAGTAACATACGGTTGACAAACAGGCGACTGTTTAAATGCTTCTATGATATATTGACCAACTTTAAATTTTTATATCTCAAAAACTACTTAAAATAAAAAATTGTAAATACTTTTATTACTTAATTTTTCGAGAACTTTTCTGCTATAATATTGTAACTCGCAAATTTCGGAACATCCTGTATATATTACATATGAAAATCGTGACGCATATAATTTTTTATGATGATTTCATATGTAATCGCAAACATTACAAATATACAAAATATTCAAAAATAATTATTATAATAATCATCTAATAACAATATTTACTAAAAGTTGTATAAGATTTTGAAAAGATGAGGAACATTAAGAAAATTTTAAATATATCATATTTAAAATATAATATATTGCAAAAGTTATGCAAATATATATCTTTTATTTAGAAAATAAATTCATATCAGTCTTATAAAATTTAATGATCGGGACAATCGGCTGCACATTCCAAATGTAATGGAAGTTACGAAATGTAACAGAATCGAAAATCATCTAAGCTGCCAATTCATCGTCGACAAATGCATATTAAAAATATATAAAATAACTATAACAAAATAAGAAGATATTAATACAAGAAGATATCAGACAAAGCATCTTAAAAAAAATGCAATATAGTCTTTGATGAAAATAACAAAAAAGGATATATTATATCGTAAAATTATTGCGTCCTAAGATCGCAATAATATTAATAAAAAAAAGTTATAAGAAACATAAGCAACAACGAATTTTGTACATTATAAATAATTCAATACTATGATCATTTGTAACGAAACCTACCAGAAATGATTTTGTATCAGAATTTGGAAAAAATTTTCGGTAAGAGATAATCTAGCCCATGCACTTTGCCACTACATGTCGCGGTAACTCACAATTTGGCGTTTAAATTCTTCCACCTCGTCATCGACGCTGGCCCGGAGCTCTTTCAGTTCCGTAGCCATCTCGTCAATGTCTTCTGTCATGCGCAAAAGCTTAGCGTCTTTTGTAGTTATAACAATATTGTTCACCTCTATCTCGGCTTCTAGCTGTTTGATTCTGTGTTTAAGTTTCTCTTTCTCCTGCTCGACTTGTCTGCGCTCCAGTCCTTCCTCGCCTACTTGCCTACTAAGTCTGCCAACTTGCGTTTCAAGACTAGAAATCTTGCCAGACCAGCAAGTCTTTATATCGGAGAGATGAAGATGCGCCTCTTCCAACTTCCTTTCCAACAACGTCCTCTCGCGCATTAGATCGGCTATTCTTTCGTCAACCGTCACTTGGTCGTTTGTTTCCAGAGCGATCCTTTGCTCCAGCACGAACACTTTGTCCTTCAGATGACGTACTTCCTCCTCCGTATGTGCTAACTGACAGGAAAGCTGCGCTTTCTCTCGCTGCGTAGAATGACGCATCGTCTCCATTTCATCCTGAAAGTGAACATTGGTTACCAAACATTGTTCGCTGGGCTTTTTTATTAGAATATATTTAGCTTTATTTTTTTCTTATAAAGCCTCCCTGGCAAATCTTATCAAAGCCATAATATGCGAATTAAATTTCGCTAAATCAGAAATAAGAGATAATATATCATTCCATGAGACAAAACAGCAAAAATACGAAAAGGCAAACGAAAAGCAATAAATCTAACGTTCGCCTAGTGTCAATATTTCTCGATTTTTTTTTTTTTATTAGAGTTAAAATAACAATTATATATTAAAACATAATTCCTTTCCGCATTTTTTTTTTTTTTTTATAAAACTCAATTATTTAAAGTATCGTTGGATGCATAAAGTCATGCGCATTTAAACACAATTATATAAAAATATAAAACAAGAACGAGTTTTTTTCAAGAAGAATTGATTTCCATTTTCAAAAATATAGAAAATATGCATATATCTAAAAAAAATCAAAGAGGGAATCTCTATACTGAATATTATTACTATACACAGGATATCTTATGATATGTGTGTATGTGTGTGTGTGTGTGTTTTATCTCCTAAAAAGTCCAGCAACTCCAACTATGTCTCATTAGTAAATCTCATTGACCACTGATTTGAAATATAAAATATTTAAGAAAAAATCATTTCAAGCATTTACTTAAAAATTTTTATATATGGGCTTGTGTGCTTTAACTAACTAATCAGCTTTCTAGTCTTACTTTAACTACTTACTTTTAAATATATTAGTTTTTTTAAGCTATAAAAAAGAAAATGATTGCAGCTTTAATGTTCATAAAATGCTGATTCTCTATTTTTCCTTAATGATAAAACACGCTAAATAACTAACAATAAGAATTATGACAAGATATCCTTGTAATATATTAAAAAGTCCAGCAACTCCAACTATGTCTCATTAGTAAATCTCATTGACTAAAAAGTGAAAAACTAAAAGTGTTATCAAAACTTTTGCAAGAGGAGGAAGTTACGCTCCATTTTAATTTAAGAATATAATGATATTATACTTTTTGAATAATTATTACAAGACGCTCTGTATTTGTATATATGTGCATGCATGCACATATATATAAAAAGAACACAAAGATAAAAACATTAATATATTAAAAATTTGATTATCTATAAATACCTTCTGCATCTTTAAGAGCATGCTCTAAAGACTGTTTCGCTATTTCTATCTTTTTTATCTCTTCTTCTAATCTCCGTTTTTCTTTCTCCTGTTTTTCTATGATTTTTTTCCATTCTTTCTCTTTTTCAAAAAGCCTAACTTTCCATTCTTCTTCTTGTTTTTCCATACGTTTCAAAATTTCTGCCTCTTTCTTTGCTAAACGTTTCTTCCATTCATCTTCCTTACTTTCACACTTTTTTATATCTTTTGTGGATAACTGTATTCCATCATTAAGACTATTCTCTCCTTTTGATGAAACTGATGGTAATGGAGATGTATTTTCTTCCCTCAATCCATCTAATGATACCTGAGAACCACTAACACTACTTGTAGAACCTGTCTGTAACAATAATAATGTAATTAGCCCTAAAAGACCTGTATAATAAAATTATATATAAAAGCTTTACATTCTCACACAAATATAAATTAAATGAAAAGTATACATTATACTGGTTACAACTAAAAATTCTTTTTTTTATAGCTCTTATATGAATTTCATAATCTACAAAGAGACAGCTTAAAAAATCTTAAAATATATGTTCAAATTAAGTATAAATTAATAGTTTATATTACAATATGATTTCTTTCATTTGATTACATTCGTGTAAATATAAAGAAAAAAATTTAATAATACAATTTTTATTCAAAGCTTCATAAGAAATCTATAAAATTCTCTGAGAGAAAAATTCACTAAAGAAAATCTGAACTTAATGAGATACTCTTACAGCTTGAATGTAAGGTGATAATATATCTGTGACGTTATATTTACCTGAGACACATGTTTGGAATTAATGGCGCGTATACTCCCGGCATTTCTGATAACGGTGGACACGTCACTCCCGATTTCCTCACGTATCTTGTTCTTCAAGGTAGCGAACATAGTGCGAGAGCGTTAAAATCCCTCTAAGTTCAGAGCACGCGGATAACAGGTGTAACAAGCACCACCTGTCAAATTAGCGTACGACAGTCGGGTCGATGCAAACACTCCGCACACCCGAGTTTGCGCTGATTTACGATTGTCAAACTTTACGCTGAATATAAAGGCACGAAAAACACACCGCGAGCGATTGCTTCATTTTCTCTATCGCACATTTTTCGCTTTTCATCAATTCCACAATTTCACAAGGTCATTACTGTCGCTTACTCGCATTGTTCGTTCCCTACCGACGACGAAACTTTGCACCTCTCCGCATTCGTCAAACACAAATGATCGTGTCAACTGTGTGAGCCACGGATTTTTATATTATACTAGACTACTAACTCCCGAAATTTTGCTTATATAGGAAGCTTTTCAGCAAGAAACATACACATAGACACAATGTCACGCAATTGGCTATCGAATAGAGAATTTTTAAAATACTAAAAAATTTTTCAATTTGATAACCAATAGTATGACATTGCCTCTAGCTGGAAATCTCGCGAAGTAAGACTCAATTGTCCATGTCGCCAATTGGCCAATTCAAAATAGGATTCTCTGATTGGTCGATCGTACCCTAGGAACCAGTACCACTTCAATGCGTAGTCATTGTGTCTGAGCCCTAAGTTTTTCTCATCTCACGTTACGTTTGTGGTCAAGTTGTGAGTGAGATGAACGGCATTCTCTTTCAGTGGATACAAACATGCAAGTCGAATAAATCCACAAAAGAGAAAAGAAAAACAAAAACTTTGTCTCATATCTGAATATAATAAATGATGCCACAATTAAGTGTGTAATACATGCATTATTATCAGGTGTAGAGTTTGCTTCAGTTTTTATTGAATATTAAGAATTTATATTCCAAATATGTTGAAGCAGGCATAAGCAATGAAGCTATTGCATGATCATTCTAGCATAACGAACAGAATAGCGGCGAAGCCTTAAAAACGTACCTCTAGCATCAGCGATAGCAGCAACGAATTAGCGGAAATAACCGCCTAACTCTGATCTTCGATGCTCTCGTTTACCAAAGTTTTCCAATCTTCATGCGTGCGTTGTATTCACAGAACTTTTGATATCACTTTTAACAACGCTATTGTTCCATAACTCAAAGAAATTGTCTCCTATTGTATCCGACGATATTACGTGAATGTATATGTATATGGAAAATATATATCCATAAATCCCAAAAATAAGATCGGTTATTCATGCAAGAACATCAATTATTTTTGGATTAAACAGAAGAATTAATATCACTCCTTAACAATTTGCAAATATAATTTTTTTGCGAACACAATAGTAACTGTAATGAATTAGTTTGAAAGTCTTCCAATTAAGAGATTAAACAGCACAGTATATATGAAAATTATTAAGTTATAATAAAATTGTTATTACATCTAAGAGTTATGGAACACACGTAATTTTAATTTGTTTTACTACAGCAAGAGTCACATGTAATATGTATGTCATGAGTTTATGTTTCAGCGGCATGTCAATAATAAAAGGTGCAGAAAAAACTATAGCAACTGTGACGAAACAAAAAGCGAGGTAATAGTCAAAAACATTAATACAAATACAAAGTATATAAATACGTAATATATAAATATAAAATCCCTTATTTCTTTCTTACTCTAAATATAAAAAACCTTTCTTCATAAATAAGCGTGCTTAAAAAATGCGCCAATTCTGAGCTATCAACAACCATTTATATTACTTTAATGTATATTTTACCCATATATTCAATTTACATATCGTTCAATTGATTAACTGCGGAAAAATTAAAAAGAGTTACATTTTAAATTAGTACTCTTAATAAGCACTGCTAATATTTTACATATCATATCTTTACATGCCAGTTCAAAAAATACATAATAGTAAAAAGAAGTACAAAGAATTGCTTTTTGTATATTTTAATGTATAATATATTTTATCGCTTAAGCCTGTTTTTCTTATAAAAATGATGATATTAGAAAAATGCATCAATTGAGTAAAAAAATTCCTTGATTTACCAGGTTTTTTTTTCTCAAAATTCTAGGTAAAGAGAGAATATTTTAAAGATTTTAGTGCGATTTCCTAAAATAAGTTTTTTTATTGTATGCGTTTTCTAATGTTTTTCACTGTACCGAAAAAAAATTGAATAGCTTTCATAAAATAAACATTTTTCTAATCCTAAATAGCGTCAATCGGGGTCCAAACGTGAAGTTTACATCGTACCAATTGGATAATATCCAATAATTACGTGCTCAATTGAGCAATGCCTACGCCCGTATTCATAGTCTCCCGTCTTATATTTAAGATTATATTAAAAACAAGGGCTGTGGAATCTTAAGACGATCTAAGACCATAATTTTAAGATGATCTTAAATATAAAAACAGACTATGAATAAGAACGGGTCCTAATTTGGATATATTGTTATGTGGTCAAACATAATACGCCAGCGCGCACGCACGGCAAAAGAGAGGTGCTAATTAGAGAGATGCGAATTTCCCCCTCTCACACACATACATACACACCCGCACGCTCGCGTGTGTTGCCACACACACACAACGTATTTAAAAAAATAATGTTGAGAAACAAAAAGTTGTTTCTTATACCACTTATACAAGTGGTATATATTATATAAAATAAAAAAGCATATAATTTATGAAAATTCACAAATTTTCATACTAAAAAATTTTTCAATTTGATAACCAATAGTATGACATTGCCTCTAGCTGGAAATCTCGCGAAGTAAGACTCAATTGTCCATGTCGCCAATTGGCCAATTCAAAATAGGATTCTCTGATTGGTCGATCGTACCCTAGGAACCAGTACCACTTCAATGCGTAGTCATTGTGTCTGAGCCCTAAGTTTTTCTCATCTCACGTTACGTTTGTGGTCAAGTTGTGAGTGAGATGAACGGCATTCTCTTTCAGTGGATACAAACATGCAAGTCGAATAAAGAGCTGTGCGAGTTCTTGTTGTGCGCAGACGAGTTGTTTGGGCGTGATCGCTTGAGAGATTTAGCAACGACTTGTGGGAAAATGTGAACCTTGAAGCGGCAGCGGGATTAAAAACTCATTAAAGTAGAAGAGAGCGAAAAAGAGGGACTTGGACGGGGAAAAAAAGATAGCTGCTGTGCCGATCATTTTGATGCAAAGAAAAGACGAAAGAGAAATTGAGAAGTGCCGTGATTTCAGAGTCTTGTCAACGAAAAGGTGAAAGGTATGCACCGATAAAAACGAGGGCAATATTAATCTCTGTACTTTTTAATAATAATTTTCTATGATATATTATGTAATATATTTTCCTAATAATATATTATATTTTCCTTTTTCTTTTTCTTAGATATAAAATTTGAAGTTTTTTTTGTTTTTTTTTTTCAGATGCGTTCTCTTATTATACTTATCTATGTGTGATTTTCTTTCATTTTCCTCTCTTTCTAGAGTTCGTGAATATACTTTTTTTTTATCTCAAAAAATGCTAAAATATGCGATTAGCTGCTGAAAATAGAAGAGACATTAGTTCTTGAAAAATCTCTTGTATCCGTAATCCTATATACTAATACTAATAATACTCTACTAGTGCTTTGTGTAGAAGAAAACGAAAAAAAATAAATATATAAAATGCAGTATAGAAAGGTGAAACCCTTTTGTCATTAACAAAGCACATGATTTAATTTTAACATGATCTGTGGCCTAATTCTAACTTATTTTTACTTCTCTCACAAATCATGTAGCACCAAGCAAAGTAAAATACAAAAACAGCTAAAACAATTTAAAAAAATTATGTACATATAAATATGCATAAAAGCAAATTTAACATTAACAGACCATTATTTTTTTTTTCATTATATAAATAATTATCATAATTTGATATATATTTTATATTTTATTTACAATGATATATATAGAAATCTTAAAAATTAGATTTATTTTAAATTAAACTTTTTGTGTTCCTGGAGTAAAAAATATCTGAAGTTTACATTACAATTGTATATTGTATATACAAGAATTTATATAATAAATGTACGATGTAAATTATTCAAGGCAAAATGATGAACTGAAAAGGGAACCAAAACGAATGTAATCATGTCCTGATAGGATAGGATTAGAGCAGCAGTTCATCATATTTCAAGGGGACGAGAAGTCGCCTTATATCTCTCTACGATAGCGTAGAATGGGTGAGTATTTAAAAAATTAACAAACCGTTTATGTAAATAATAATTAATAAATTTGAATAAATAAAAAGCTTTAAACTTATAATCCAATCAACTTACTTGTATATTGTTTAATTCGTCTTCATATCGTCTAAGACGGGAAACTTCTGTCTTCAAACTTTCTATTTCCGCTGTAGCAGTTTTTAAATGATACGTCTTTTCCTCTACTTCCTGTTCTTTTGCCAACAACTGCAAAAAATTATCATTATATACTTAATCTAATTTGTCTCAATTAATAAGATATATTAGAATTAAAAAAATTATATACAGAATGCAAAAACGATAGTAACCAAATAATAGATGATTTTTCATGCAAAAATGGAATCAAAGATAATATTTGGTAAAAATTTAATTGTTTTTATTTAAAGAATTTTTTTCATAATAATGCTTTTGCGTTCGTTAAATTTTAACGAATTTTGACAACTTTATGCCATACATTATTGGATTCACCTTGGCAATAACCATAAATATATAAATAAAATTAAATATATGTAAAAAATTTAAAATAAATATACTATATTTCAAAAATTTAATCACGCTATTGCAATACCCAATGCCCCTGAGTTATACATTTATAACATCAGATTTTGATTTTGATTTAGGACAGGTTGCACTGATATAATTGGTGTTAAAAATAGATATTAATCGCAAATTTTTTTTCTCTATTTTTGTTATAATTATATAGTACTATAATGCAATTGCAATAATTGAAAGTTATGGATAATGAATGCATAAAAATTTCTGATTTTTTGAATTGTGCTACTCATGTGCTACATCATTATAAAAATCATCCTCGTTTTCTGACAATATCAATAATCAATAAACAGAATTATTCATATCTATTTGAGAAAAATATTAGTATCTTTTATTTTAAACACATTATATCTATAATAATATTTCTTTCATAGTATGTCCATAGTAATTTCGTAATATGGTAAATCTGACTATTGAACATGATTGTCAATAATATTTCTTTTATATAGACACTAATCGTAAATTTAATTTGATTCTAGATACACAAGTAGAAATGTCTCGCAACAATGGACCTGGTCTTTATGAGTTCCTTATGGAAGCCGAGTTACAGCAATATTATCCCGGCATTCGAGGTAATTTCATTTGTTTTAGAGAGAGAGAGAGAGTGAGTTAATATACCTTGTTATACTTTTTTAAATAATAATATTTTAAGAGATGTATAATTAATGTTTTAATTGAAGTGTAATTAAACTTATAATTAAAGTTTAATAGTAAGAAAAAGAAATTAAATATTATGAAAGAAAGATTAAGAAAGAATGTCATCTGTTTAGTTATCCTCTCTTTCATCTAGTGGAAATTGAACTAAAAAATTATACAACCATGCGCTATTTATACACTTTTAAAATTCATTAAAAAAATTTCAATTAAAAAATTTCTATTAAATTATTATAGTTTTAAAATTATAATAATAACTACTTATTAAAAGAGAGTAATTTATATTAGGAGACTTGAAGGTGCAAACAACAGCACAATTGAAGTATGTAACGGAAGAAGATCTGAACGCGATAGGGATGAGCAAACCGGAAATGCGCCGTCTAAAAAAATATTTCCAGAAGCATTTTCCTCAGAATTACCTTTCCAAATTTAAGAAGATGCTTCTACCGAAGCGCGAGGAACAGACTCCCGGTGCACTAAGTATGTTGCCGGAGGAAAGGCAGGACAGACCGTCGATACGCGTGCCCAATAAACACATGATCCCAGCCGATGCAATTATTGTGAACAAAGAGTTGGGAACAGGAGAATTCGGGGTCGTGCAGCAGGGCGTATGGACAAATGATGGAGAAAGGATACAGGTAGCAATCAAATGCCTATCCCGCGAAAGAATGCAGAATAATCCTATAGAATTTCTAAAGGAGGCCGCGATAATGCACGCGATCGATCACGAACACATCGTGCGGCTGTACGGCGTCGTTCTTGACACAAACTCGTTAATGCTTGTAACAGAATTGGCGCCATTACGCTCATTGCTGGAATGCCTCAAGGAACCCAGTTTGCGTGCGAGTTTCCCGGTTTTATCATTGTGTGATTTCGCCGTACAGATTGCTGACGGAATGCAATATTTGGAGGCGAAAAGACTGATACATCGTGATCTAGCTGCCAGAAACATCCTTGTGTTTTCTAAGAATAAAGTCAAAATATCGGATTTCGGGTTATCACGTGCACTAGGAGTTGGCAAGGATTATTACCAGACGAATTTTAATGTTAATTTGAAACTGCCCATTGCGTGGTGCGCACCTGAATGCATATCCTACCTGAAATTCACGTCGGCGAGTGACGTCTGGGCATATGGGGTGACTTTATGGGAAATTTTCAGTTATGGGTTTCAACCCTGGGCAGCATTGACCGGTCACCAAATTCTCGAAGCAATAGATGAACCTAATTTTCAGAGGCTTGAGCAACCTGAATGTTGTCCAAAGGATTACTTTTCTCTCATGCAGCAATGTTGGCAACATGAATCTCTGAAAAGACCCAAGTTTTCCGAATTGATCAATTTGTTGCCTGATCTAAAACCGGAACAAGTTCAAGCAGTTCAGGATAATACTGAACCGAATCAGCTTGCTTATAGACAAAGCGACATAATTACGGTCTTAGATAAAGGCAGTGGGAATAGCTTATGGAAAGGTGTTTTAAATAATGGCAAAACAGGATTCTTTAATCCGGCTCATACGATCGCGTATCTAGGTTCTAATTTGCCCAGCAATAAGCCCGGTGAATTTACGCGGGGAGATGGCAAAAATGTTTTCTCGTCACAGCGTAGAAAAATTCGTACGGACATGATATCTTCACCGCAGGGCGATCTCAAGCATACTGGTCATGTGGGTTTAGACGGAGCGTACTTCGGTGACATTAGCTTTCTCGGTGGAAAGTATCCGCACCTGCCTCGTCAAGTTGTGACACCATACAAACCGCAGGAGGATGCAACTGATAATTCTCAAAGTTTAAATCAGGATGCGAGAAGTATTGATGCGAATAGAGAATCAGCGAGAGATAGTAGAAGTATACAACAAGAAACTCAAAGCAAACATGGTACTAGTATTTTCTGTTATAATAAAGTTTTTACTTTATCAAATTATTTGTGTTTACATATGTACATTGCACATGTGCATTCGTGTAAATGCGTAAATTTATTTAATAAAGATACAATATTATTTATGATTATAATTTTATTAGATATAATTTAGTTACATATGTGAATTAGGAAATGAGTTTTACACATAAAACAAAGTATTAAATATTGATCATATTTAATTTTTGTAACCAATTTTGTGCTACTCTGAAAATATGACTATATTATCTTATATGTTTATATAGAGAGCTTATGGTCTGATGTGAATTCGGAAATATGTCAAGCGAATACAGAAAGTAATGCAAAGATGCAATCTATAACATCTAATATAGGCAGTAATACTGACGTTCTCGAAGCTGACCATGAATATCATGAAATTAGTGATGAAGAAAATCAAGAAAGTCCATTAAGATTTGATAAAACATTAAATTTTGACTTTGGTCCCAGTCTTTTGGCAGAAATGGATCAAATGTTCAGATCATTAGGTAAAAGAAATTGGAAGATAAATATTCCATATTATTTATATAAAATGTACAAATAATATTTCTGACATGTTATCATGTTTTTTCTATAGGTTCTTCTCCTCCTCCTCCGCCACCTGGCCTTCCTTTACCCACTGAACATGAATCAAGCAACGTGAGAAACGAATTGAGGGAAATTCAAGCAAAACAATGTAGCAAGAAGAAACAAGCCACCGTGAGTCCAATAAATGTACAGTAATCTTTTATTATTTTTGATTATGATATGACTTATTTAGTATATTTAACGTTATTATTCAACGTTATTTATTTTTTATTTATTATTTGCAATCTTTAGATATTACTTTTATTTATATTTATATAATATGTGTTATTAAGACAAAAGAAAATAAAGTCTGATGTAGAACTCTTATGTAGAATCAATAACTCAAGTTTAGTGCAGAACGATCAAGTTTCTATTGCACTATTTTTCTTGATCTGTATTTAATATAATAAACTTTTAAAATGTATTCGTGTTCGTGAGATAACATTAATATTTATATCTCTCTGTAGAGAGGGAATTGCGCAGAAATGTTGATCTACCGTTGATATGACGGAGAGAGTAAACATTTCTCTTGTATCTAGGTGAAACCTATCTCTGCTGCCGATCAGAAAACTCTCTACTCAGCCATTGCTATGGCACAGGAATTGACAGCACGTTCCATGACAGATCTTGAACATCCACCGGAGTCTCCTCGTACACCTGCCAGTCCTTCAAGACGCAGAAAATTCTCTTTTAAGTTGCCACATCAATACAGTCCCAAACCAGATAGACGACATTTTTCCGAAGAAGCTGCCAGTATACCTGACATACAGGTACATAAAACGGTTTTTGTTTTATCGCAGGAATATATGAAAAAGTTCACAGATCAAAAAACTACAACAAAGGAAGACATATTGAAGAAAGAGATTAATATTTTTACTATATATTTTTATTTAACATTCAAATTTTTATTGTGTGTGATTTATACAATCATTAAAAATTCTGTAAAATTATTTGATATTTCTAAAGTATGGGTTAATAATATGTTAAAGCACAAAAATGTTGCAATAGAGTAATAAATAACGAAAAAAATTTCTAAATTATTAATAAAATTTTATATATCTTTTAGATTTGTTTTTGCACTATGGATTATAGTTTTCTCAAGCCATTCAATATTAGAGGTAACTCTTCCTTTGTTTTTTAAATTAATATTTAACATACTGGAGCAATAAGATATTACATACATACGCCATTACACTTTTTACATATTTAAATACATAAAATCATGAGAGAAATTATTTTAAAACCAAACTATTTATAAATAATATTAAATAATTTTAAATATGGCAAGATACATATATGACTATCATATTTAGATTTGGATATCATAGGAATACAATAGAATTGAATAATATACACATACATATACAGGCTGTTTTATAATTAGTGCTACAATCGGGAAAGTAATAATATTACATAAAAAAAGAAACTACATAAAAAAGTTAAACAATTTTTTATACAAAGTTTTGTTTTTGACAAAGTTGATTCTAAAATTTCTAATATTGATATAGCATATTATGCTTTTTTAAGTTTAAATAATTCTAACAACTTTATAGTATACATCAAATTTATTTCGACATTTCGATTAATTAAAATATGTAAAAAGATATATTTTTTATTGACAAAAATAAAATGTATCTAAATATTTTATACACAACTCCTTTCTCTCTTTATCTTCAGCGTAATTTAAATTTTTTAAAATTGTTTTATTAAAAATGTACTTTCTATATTTATACATTATTAGAGCTACTGTTATAAAATACGAACAGAAGATATAATAAAGGCTCATTTAAGTTTAAAAAAGCATAAATGTTAATAATTCAATAAATTTTAAAGTTAAGTTTTTTTTCAAAACAAAATTTTATATGAAAAAATTTTAATTAATTTATTTTTTCCGATTGTACTACTAATTACGGAATATCTCGTACACATT